ATTTTTCACACGTCAACTAAAGTGAGTAAAGTGAGAAAAAGAAGGTAGATTTACGTAAGAAAACACCAGAAAAGATAGATTCTTTTTAAAGGTAGAAGTACCATCACAGAATTGACAAGAGCAAAGTAAAGCAAAGAACTGAAAGGGATCAAGAAATGAACTTTTTGTAACCTTATTTGTACTTTTATTGTTGCCAATTTTTTACTGGCTTTGAATATAAGTTCATCGATTTTCATCATAAAACGGAAGCCAAATGAACCCCTTTTTTTCAGAAAAAGGGAGAGGATGCCGTCAGAAAGAACCATTGACGCTAACTAGATTGCTACTAAGAAAAAAAAAAAAAACTAGTTTTTGAAGGGTTTTCTTTTAAGAAGAAAGATAGGAAGGTCAAACGAACCTCTTTGGAAGGGATGAGAATTATGTTAGAGATATTATTTACGATGCTAGAGTTAATTTTTACAGCAATTCAAGGAGTACTTAATTATGATTCTCTCCATGTTGCTGAAGAAATTGATTCATGTTATTTAGCTCTTACATATTTTAGAACTTTAAAACTCATTTGCATTTTTATTAATTGGTCTTCAAATAAGTTTTTTTTAAAATTTTTTTTTAAAGAAACTACAATTCATGTGTTTAATTTTGATTTTTATTCTGTTTGAGTGCACAATTGTTAAATCGTTACATTTAAATGCTCAAATTTTGATTTTTTTTCTCTTTAAATGTACAATTATATGATATTGAGAAATATTGATGCGTCTAAAATAAACTGTCATGTGGTAGTTTTTAATCGACACTTAAAAAAAAAAAAGATTCCACTTGAATTTGTTCAAAAAAATTTATTTGGGTCCAACATTTGATTTTTTATTTTATTTTATTTTTCTTTACTATTTGAGTTCTTTTAGTCACCTAGATTGGAAATTCTGAGTGCCCAACATTTTTTACTAACACAGAAAAAATAAATCCCACTTGAATTAATTTAGGAAAAAAAAATTTGATTAAAGAAAATATCTTAATTCCAAACCCTCTAGCAAACACATAGGAGAACAATGAGTCTACCAGCAAGAAGCTTGTGAGAAATTCATGTGATTTTTCATTTCATCACTTGAGACTAAAAAATATTGATATAGTTGGGATCCATTAATCCATGACAAAAGGAGAATAATTGATAGTAAAGTGTTCGATTTGTACCAAAATACTATTTAGAGTTCGCTTGGACTAGATTTCTAAATCCAAAGGACCAACAATAATTTTTGCGATACCTTAACAACATTTACAAGCATTGCATATGGAGGGATTTCAATATATATATGTTGTAAGGGTTTTATATTCTAGTTTATTCCAACGAATCTAGATATGAATCCATAGTAATCATCATTTTCATTTGAGTTTCTTTTTTTTTTTTTTTTTTTTTTTCAAATAATACTAAGTCTCTATGTTTTCATAATATTTGATTATTGTACTTGCATTCCTTATTGGTCTTTCATATCAATTAAATTGTTTTATTTTTCTCTAAAATATCCTTACGTGTAATTAAAATTTCCAATCTTACCCAATACATATAAAATAAAAAAATATAATTTGTCAAGATACTAACTTATGCTTCCAAAAATTAAAGGGACTAACTTACAAAATCATTACAAATACACGAACTAAATTATAATTTATTTGTTTTATTTTCTTTATAAAATTTATGATATTTTTTTTAAAAAAAATTAAGACAAAAGCTAATTATGAAAGACTATATTAATCAAAATCACTTTTTTTCCTCTAGAAATGTATAAAAACTCAATGTATATCAAATCTCGTGATAAAAAATATTTTTTTTTCATTTGAATCCCTCTCATTATAGTATAAGTTTATGAGTAAATTATAAATTAGTTTCTCTAGTTTCAAAAAACAAATTAATTAGTCCCCCCTCTTTTCAAAAACTATTATTTAATTATTTAATCAGTGTTGATCATGCTTAATTTAATATTATTTTTATTTCACAAAATCTCTAATTTCTCATCAATCTTTTCATATTTTTAGCTTAAAACAACAACAAAAATAAATTAAAAAAGAACCAAAAGAACTAAATACAAGTAGATTTCAAGACATGAAAACTAAATAATTAATTTGAAAACAAAAGCAATTAACTAATTCATTTCTCAATATAAGAGGATCTACTTTATAATTTACACATAAGTTTATTTCTTCATTTGTATCCCTCTCATTAAGTTCGTCTCATTATAAGTTTATTTCTTTAAAATTGTTTCTTAATATGTATCCTTCTCCTTATAATTTAAGCTTTCATCACTATAATCTGAAAAATTCATCAAATTTTAACTTTCTAATTTTACAATGTTACCTTTTTTATTTTAAAAAAGTTACAATGGTACCGTTAACCAATAAATGGTTTATTATTTAGATTTGGTTTTTGCGGTTTTTTAGGTTTCTAATTGTTTAAAAAAAAATTACAATATGAGTGTCCAACAGTTAGTCTTAGGTGAGTGTGAACACTTAATTTTTTTTTTAAAAAAATAAAATAAATAAATAAATCAAAACTGAGTGATTAAATAAAAAAATAAAAAAAATAGGGCATTCAAACCACAATTAATTTCTGTTTTCTCCATATTTTAACATATGGAGTAACAATATGAGAGAGAAGTAAGGAAAAAAAAGATAAAAAATAAAAACTTGAGAATTTATCTTTTAGTTGGTTAGTAGTAGTAAATGGCAAAATTAAAACTTTTGCAGAACTATGGAGGTAATATTGAAAAAATTAACAAACAAATTTAAAAAATAAATCATTGTTCATATCTTCACAAAACAGTATGATGCACTATAGATGAGGATGGCGTTTTTATGATTTTTCAACTTTTTTGGATATTTATATTGGAAGTTCACCTCATATTTCATTTTGATTTCTGAAGTTTTAAAATGAAAATTTTATCTTGGGCACTTTCATCCCTTCACCTGCTGCTGTTGCAATGGCCTGCTTCTGCAGGCCCAAGGGAGGCAGCTTTTTTTTTTTTAGCTATTTATATTTTTTAATTATTAAATTGGGTATGAAAATTATAAAAAAAAATTATTATTTTTTTCACACCAATTGGCAATTATATACATATATATCTTTTCATTTTATCGTTTCTTATAAAAATTCTCATCAACTTAATTTTTTATTCTTCTTTTTTATGTAATTTTATTTATTAATAAATTTTATTTATTTTCTTTTATGTATGAATTTTCGAATTAATTTTTTTTAATTACTTATTTTTTATATAATCAAAATTTAAAAATAAAATTCACATAATGCTTTTTTCTCTATGCGGCCTAGTGGTACTAGTGGAGCAGGGTTAACCTGCAATACATAAACCATAACCATAGGTGTAACCTTTTCGCTCAATGCTGGAATCGACAATTGAAACGTCCGAGGCTGCATTAATCGGGGATACACGAATGGAGGAATTTTTTTTTAGAAACTTCACCTTCAATAAACGTAAGAGTTTTTTTCAAATTTTTCTATCCAGGCTAATGTGTCTTTCTCGTAAGACTCGAAAGTGTTTTATTTTCTTATTCTTTATATAATCAAATTTTATCAAAATTAATTATAACGATGTATAAAAAAAACATGCATAAGAGTCATTGATTTTATTATAAATTTATATATAATATATCTACACACATAACACCAATTATTTATTATTATTCAAGTTTTTATATATTTTTTAATTTTATCAACTAAAATAATTAAAATAATGTTTTAGAAAAATAGTCTAATAATTCAAATAAAATATTTTATATTAATATTATTCATTGTTTTGTAAATAAATATGTATATATATATATATATATATATATATATATATATATATATATATATATATATATATATATTCATTCTAGACAATAAAAATTCTTCTTATTTATTCAATATAATGTTATAAAAACTATTGAAATATATATATATATATTTTATATTTAGATTATTATAAGTTCTTATTTAAAAATAAAAACATAAAAAAATTATATTTTTTTTAACTACAAAATTTATTAAAAAATTAAAAAAAAATGCTAAATTTAGATGACGTTTAATCTTTAATTTAATGTATATTTATTGATCAATAACAGAATATATATTATCAAACTGAAGTAAACATATATTATCAAACTAAAGTAAATATGTTTAGTTTATCTGCAAAGTAGCTTGAAAAGCCAACGAGTTTATACTAAGGATAGAAGTAGAACATTGATAAATCTACAAGGACAAAAATATAGTTTACCCTAACAATTTCCGTTCTATCATACTAAGGTATTTCATAACAGACCAAAATACCACTGGGTTTTCTGAATTCTGCAGACCAATGACCATATATCTGAACTATGTGACATGCAATCCCCAACCTTTTAATCCACATTGTACCATTGAATAACGTGAATGCAGTGTCGAATTAATCAACTGCTGTTGAAAGATGAAACGAAGGTCCTAAAACAGCAAGGCATTTATTCTTTAATTACTGTGAAAGGATCTGCTAGAAAATCACAATGATAAGCTAAAGAAAGCTGCCTAAGTCACATAGAATCATCGGTCGATGAACTAGTCACCGACTAGTTAGATATTTACCAGCGACTAGTTTGCCGGTCGACGGAGTAATTGGGATACATTTGGTAGATGGTCCCAAATCTATACAACCTACTTGCTTCTAATAGCAATCAAAACAATTAAGAGAAACATGAATTTGAATTAGGAATCCAGATCAACATAAATAGGTTATTAAGGAACCTTAACCAATGCATGAACTATTAACAGCTTGCGGCCAAACACTAACCATCTTTTTAAATGTCGAATCATATACATGAATGAGCTTTGGCCATTACTACCTAGCCTTAAATCTTCACAATTCTTTCTGTTTCTATGTACACAATAAACAAGGAAATCTAAACACCAAATGCAATGTGAGATTATGATAAATTATGCTAGCATGGTTTGAGGAACAGTGGGGACACCAGTTGATTAATTTCTACCTTAGATCAACATCCACGCGTTCTGGATTCCCCCTTTCAGTTTGGTTGTTAACAAGTTCCATGCCAAGCTGCCCTTTGTCTCCGGCACCAAACGCAAACAGTTTCCCAGATTCAGTGAGAGCAAAGGTGTGCGCATTCCAGTATATGGAATTGGTTAGGCTGATCTGCACCACTCGCTCCTTCACCTCCTTCAATGATGTTACTAGCTCTGGGCTCAACACATTAGCATGCCTATTTCCCTGAAGAAGAGAAAAAACTTAAGTCCAAACATGTTTCAAAAACTTGACCAAGCAGGAGGACCAGAGTCATGCAAACATCTATATCAAAGATAGCATTTTAAAATCATGGCCAAATTAAGACAAGACAATAATCAAATACTTAAAGAGACTCTAAATTCAATTAACGCAACTTAAAGAGTTGTCAGTTCGCCGTGTCGGCATCAACTTGTCAGTAACCATACATATCAGAGGTGACATAACAGCCACAAGGTTAATCATTCAATCTCTTCCTAAAAAGGGTAAGTTTCCACATGGCAGTGGTATACAAATAATTGATATCAGGAAATTAAAAAGTTGGTAGTTAGCATGTCAGAAAAACAGTAGTAAAATTGAAAGGAAAGCAAGAATTGCCCCAGCTATAGTGGGACCACCAATTACTGTTAAGGAAAGAAGGAAAAAAAATGTGATGTAATTCTGTACTGACTGTATATAGTAGTAAACATTTAACGAATTAGATCATGGATCTTAAATTGCACTTCATGCAACAAAATTGCGTTGTTGGAGGTGTAAAAAAAAGGGTTATATGTATTCAAGATTTGTTCATTAGACCAGAAAATAAGGCCAACTTTTTTTTTTTTTTCATGCATTAACGAAAACAAGATATATCAACATAGAAAACAAAGAATCAAACAGAAGTGGACCAGACCTGTCCATCAGCAGCCGCATTATGACCTAGACTAGCAGATTCACCACAACCAAATGAGTATACATCACCATCATCAGAAACCACAAAGGTTGTGTAATCCCCTGTAGCAACATGAACAGCTTTGACCTTGCTCAATGCATCAACCACCTTAGGAACCGATTCACACTCTTCATTCCCATGACCCAAGCACCCATAGCGGCCCCAACCCCATGTACAAACCCGTCCATCCCTTCCAACCACAGCAGCATGCCATGCACCAGCAGCAACCACCACTGGCTGAAGGTTCAAAAGCTGAAACTGTTCTATCAATCGAGGGTACTTCTCATCAGTTCTTGATCCATGTCCAAGCTTACCACCCAAGCCACATCCAACGGAGTATACCGACCTGATATACATCCAAAATATAGCACAAAGATGAGAAACTAGATAAACTGTTGTAGCAAATTCAACAGCAGTTCTAACCATGCAGTCACATAAAGTGTAAAAGAATCATCTCTAGGATTTTGGAAAGAAGATCAGAAGGAAATGTTAAATTGCCAACAACAGCTTCCACAGTTCTTAAATAGACCTTTATTCTTATTTCCATATGAAACAGATCCTTATTCAAATCCCTGGTTAATAAGTAAGTTCCAAAGTTATTTTTTCAGTTCTTTTCTTTAGCAATGTAGTCTCATGGTAAACACATGGAGCAACTCACATGCCACTAGGTTGACAAGCCAGAGCAAGAAGGTAGCAGTATCCAGCTGCAATTTGTACCACCGGTATGTTCTCAAGTGCCCCCAACAAAGGATGGGGTTCAACATCACTTGGCTCGGTCTGGTGGCCAAGTTTGCCATCATTACCCCAAGAAAATGTATAAACCCTTCCTTCTCTGGACAATACAGCAGTAAAGAAATTTCCTATTGCAGCTTGCACCACAAATATGTTTTTCAAGGACTCAACCAGCTGTGGAGTTGTGACTGTTTTAGTTCCTTGAACTCCATATTCAGCTTCACCAAAGGAGTCCTTTCCAAAGGCATAAACCTGCCCAGCATCACTAATCAGCATTGTCCTGCCAGGTCCAGCAGCTGCTTGGATAATTCGAATGCCTTGTAGGGATCTGCAACACAGTGAAGTTCCATTAAATTTCCCTAGCAATCACCCTTTGCATTTTCCTCAATTAGCAATACACGGTGTAAGAAATGATGGTAGAGGTAGAGCAACCTGATTTCCCGAGGCCGCCACTCCTCTTCAGTGGTGCCATGCCCAAGCTGTCCTGAGCTATTAGAGCCAAAGGAGTAAACTACTCCATTTGATGTCACGGCAATGCTGTGACCAGGTCCTGCAATTGCCTGGGATTTCTCCCTCCTGCAACATGCTTCTCCAGCCAGCAAAAATCTCAGGACCAGTTTCCACGAGCCCCCGCATCTTTGTTTCAAATCTAGGCGTTCTTCTGGCGTCATTGGCTTAAATATGGCTCTTTGTTGACACATATCAAGAGCAGCAAGCTCTGATATTGATAATTCAAAGTCGGGGGCAAAGTTTGCTGGCTGCCTAAAGAAGGAACATGTTGCCTGAAATATGCACATTGGAAATCAAATCAGCAGCACTATCAATTCTACCAAATAAAAAAGAGCTTCATAGTCACAAGTTAGAGAAAAATATCACTTGCCTCTAGTTTTGCAAGATCTTGAGGATCCAAGTTACAAGCAGTAAGAACATGAAGGACAATTGATGGATTAGCAGCTAAGGGGAATTCTCCAGGAATCAAGTCCCCAAAACAATGACGCTGATTTCGTTGATATGTTGAAACAGGAACAGCAACAATGGCTGTAACAGGCTGATCAGTGATGTTATGGTATTGTATAGTTGGGGTTCCACTCGTTGTGGCATCCATGGGCATTGCCAAAGGATCGCAGTGCCCGAACTTGGCAGAGTCAAGGATTTAAATAGCTGAATGAAAACAGACAAACAGGTACCAACATCATCGCATTGTAATCCAACCGAGTAAAGACTAAAACTTTAGTGTTTCAAACTAAATTACACAGTAAGAGAATCTCATCCAACAAGTATTTACCTTAAATTACAAATCAATCTGCAAACTTCAATTCTCAAACCTAAAAAATAAAACACATGCAAATGAAAACTCCAAAGCTCACATAAACCACAAATCCAAAACAGTTGGCATGATCATTGATGCACCATGTTTTGATCAAACCAACAGTAGCAACTACTAGTAAATCAATTATCTTTACATTCCAGTGAAAAAAAAAAATGGTCTCAAAGTTTCAAAAATCAAAACTTTTTCTTTGTCCTTAAAATGAGGCAGCTCCATTTGATGATCGAGTGCAGAAAACTGTATCAATTTTCAAATTTGGTCCTTCACCATCATCACAATCATCATCATGGCATCAAATATATTAAAATTCACGATGCGAGAAACTAATACTAATCACTCAAGAAAAAGGCTTTAGCAAGGAGTTAGAATCACTTGTATACTGAATTTTAACATTTCTAATGGATTTTCCCGATGATCTATACAGAATTAACACCATAAAGTTCAATAATTTATCAAAGATTCCATACCCAAATCTCAAAGTCTCAGTCTCCCCTGCTCCTCTGCCTAATATCCTCTGTTTCTGCAAACCCTTTATTTTTTCTTTAATTTATCAGCCCACAAGTCAACAAATAGAAAAAATAAAAGCCACCATAAAAGTTTCCAAAAAATCCCATCTTTTCCCTCTGTTTTCCCCTGATCTGGTTGGAGAATTACCAGTGAACCAAATCAAGGAAGATAGAACAAGTTTCAAGAGTATAAGCTCTGCTTTGAATTGATCATCAAAGAACAAAACAGAGAAAATCTCAAAAGGGAGATCAATGGATGAAAAATCTGAGGAAAATATGAGAGATGATGATGATGATGATCAAAGGCTAGACATATAGAGAGAAAAAAATGGCATTAGAAACTGATTAGGAGAGAAAGATGTGTAGTGGATGATGATAGAGAGGGCGAGATCAAATCAAAATGCTATATACCGTATATAAAACTGCGGGTAATTTATACTTTCACACATATCCATGTACCAATGTTTCACTTCCATCCCTATATTTTAACATTTTCAATACCATCCTTATAAGTATTTTTTTGAAAAGCAACATTTCTTTTTCGTAATGCATTTAAGAAGCTTGAGTTTGAAATTGTTTTATAAAGTGCATTTGAGTTGAAAATGCATCAAATTTGATGTTTTCTTACAAAATCATTTATATCGCGTATACGTATTAAATAATTAAAAAAATTGATATATTTCGTATATTTATTTATTTATTATGACTTTTTTTCTCATTTTTATGCTTTCAAATTCTTACATAGATGATAAGATTTGAGGTATGAAAAACGAGAAGATTAAAATCTAAAAAATTATTAAATAACTAAAAAAATTGATATATTCAATATATTTATTTTATTTTTATGATTTTTTTTCTCATTTTTGTGCTTTCAAATTTTTACATGGATGATAAGATATGAGATATGAAAAACGAGATGATTTAAATCTAAAAAATTATTAAATAACTAAAAGAATTGATATATTTTGTATATGAATTTTATTTTTTATGACTTTTTTTTTCTCATTTTATGCTTTCAAATTCTTATATAGATGATAAGATATGAGATATGAAAAATGAGACGATTAAAATCTTAAAAGTAATTAAAAAAATATCTCATTTAAAGGTTTAGGGTAATATCGGAACTTTTGGAAAGTAGAAGGATAACATTAGATAATATTAGGAGAAAAGTGGAACCTTGATGAATCTACAAGGACAAACAATAAAGTTTACCCTAAAATTCCAAAAGACCTATGTGTTGAAAACCCTAAGCTACCCTTTAATCATCCATTAATTACGGGTTACCCATTTTGGAAAGAACCTAGTCATTTTCTCATGTAACAAAAGCCAGGGTGAACCGAAAAACTGAAAACCCATTGTGTCAAAAAACGAATATTCATCCATTCTTGTTAGCATTTGCTTGCCTTGCTGAAAATCATTGCTTTACACGAGATGAATAAATTATAAATTAGTCCTTTATTTTTGAAAAATAAATTCATTAGTCCTCTAGTTCCAAAGAATAATTATTTATTTTTTTCTATTTTTTATTTTAAATAAAAAATAGATATTAGAAAAAATTAACGAAAAAAGAAGATAATTTTTTAAATAAATAATATTATATTAAATATGATCAACGTTGATCGAATGATTGAATAATTAGTTCTTAAAACAAAAAAGCAATTAATTTATTTTTTGAAACTAGAGGGACTAATTTATAATTTACTCACCCAAAATTCGTTCCTAGCATAGCAACCAAGTAAAACAAAGGCAACACGCAACAGTGATGTTACAGAAGTTTCCGTTTTTAAGAAGTTAGCCCTCAAGAATTAGCCCAATTCATTGGAGGTTTTGGGTTCCCTTTCTGAATTTGAATAGGTCTTACAATATTTTATTTTTATGAGCTATTAGGCATGTGATTTTTAGTACAAACTAAGCTAGATAAATAACTGGTAACTTGACATAGTTAGGATTTTTTTTTTAATTATTTACTAATAACTGTATATTCTCGGATTAGTTTTTGTATCAATCGAAATAAAATTTACTATTTTATAAGTTAAATCGACATCAAATCATATCTAATTTTTAATCGATTCTAAATATTAAATTTTTTAAACTCAACAGCAATCTATGTTTAGTATTAAGTTAGTGTCATATCACATTTAATTTTTAATCATTTTAGATTTTTTTAAACTCATTAACATTATGTTTAATGTCAAAGAAAAAAGTTTTTTAAAATGAGAATCGAATATCTGACCCATCGAATGAATAATATATATATTTCTTATCATTCAACGTACCATTTTCGACGGTAATGGTAGTTTCAAGTTATGAAGAAATACAATGAAGGTTAAAAAAAAAAATCATAGTCAATATTGGTATATCCCACCACTAAATATAAGGGGAAAAAAATGCAAAATGTTATAATGATAATCATCTTGTAAACCAAGAATGGATCGACAACCCAATAATCAAGCCATTAAACGGTCGGTTCAACTATTGGATTTGTTGTAAATAATCATCATGTATGATATTTGTCAACTCAAGTGTTTTGGTGCAAAAGAATGGAGAAAGTGTAACTTGTTGGATTCAAATTTGAAGAAATGTAGCTTGTTGGATTCAAATTTGGTACTTTATCTTTTTAAAAATCATATATTTACTTAGGGTTAATATCTCAAACTATTTTATATAATAAAGTAATTTTTTTTAATATCTCCTTATATTTTTAATTGTATTAATCTTATTTTTAAATATAAGTCAAGTTTTCAATTTATCATTTCGTCAAGATTTTTCGATTAAACAACTAAAACTTGTTCATGTGATTTGTACATGATTAATTTTTATTCTTAAAATATTCTTGCAAACCAGTCAAAAAAAAAAAAAATCATATGCAAATCGTGTGATTAATTTAAATAGTTTAGACTGAAAATCTTACCAAAAAAAATATTAAATATTTAATTTATATTTAAAGATAAATAGTTTAATTAAAAACATAAAAATAAATTGTAGAATTACCATATTATATAAGAATAGATCGAACTATTAATCTATTTAATTATTGTATAAAAATAAATAAATTATTTCATTTAAAACGTAGCAAATTATACGCACAAATTGACTCTGGAATCCACCTAATAATCTCTTTGTTGAACCAATGATCTAACTCAATATCTTGAGATGGTCAATACGAGGCCTCGTTTAATGAAATTGTATCATCTAATATTATTTATTTTAACTCGTTTATATATAAAATATGCTTTTAACCCTACCTTAATAGTAAAAAAAAAAAAAAAAAAGTAAAAAAAAAAAATAGTACTGAACAGTGCAAGAGTACGGACAGAATTTCACTTATTTTGAACAGGGTTTTGCTTAGTCATCTTTTACGTCCTGTTCTTCAACATCTGTTCAAGACTTCCAGGGGCATCTGTGGCTAGATGACACCTAACATATAATGGCAAAAGGAAGGAGGCTAGATACATGCTCGTAGGCCATGCTTGCTGCTTCTTAACCGCAAAAAATTTCATTTCTTTAAAAAAAGAAAAAAAAAAGAAAAAAGAAAAACAGATACAAATACTGACTCTACTTGACTGTTTTTTATCGACGAAAAAATCCAAACACGCACCAAGATTTCTTGAGTCAGACTGAGAATATGATGACTAAATCTTATTATGACAGCCAGCATCCATTTGGGCTATAAAAATCAAATGGTTGGTTTATGACTCTCTTGGCATGTGACAAATGGTCAATGTTTTTGTTTGCCACATTGAGGACAGGTGCAATTCAAAGTTTACAGGCCTTGCATGATGATACACCTGGCTGGGGGGTCATGCTCGAGAAGACCAAACTTTTGCAGCAGGGGCAGCCAGAGCATAAAATTTTACAGGTTTTCGTGTGCCCAAAGCTTTGGGATTTCCATGATTGTCAATTATGGAAAGCTTTAATGCATTTATCAAGGAAAGAGCAGAAATAGAAAGCATCCTTTTTGAGGTTTCTAGTTTGCAACTCCAGATAAAAAATTAGAGTGATGCAATCATCTTTGGTTCTTTCATGCAAGGATACAAAGTAGTTAATACTTTGAATAAATTGCTGACATGATACAAAATAATGTTGACGACGGATAAATCGATTCTAAATTAACGACAGAATCTTTGAACAATCGCTAATAAATTGACAAGAACTTTTTTAGCGACAGTTTTCGATTGTCTCTAAACCGTTGCTAAGTTTAATTAGTGATGACTTTTTTCATTTAGCAACGGTTTAAACCATTGCTAATTCAACTTATTTTCTTGTTAAATAAACACTTTATTTTGATCTTTTATACACTTTTATGATCATCCTTTTTAGCAACAGTTTTAAACCGTCTTTAAAAAGTCGTTAAGTTTAATTAACGATGATTTTTTCATTTAGAGATAGTTTAAACCATCTCTAATTCAACTTATTTTTAAAATGATGTCTTTTTCTTTCGTTTTCTTGCTAAATAAACACTTTATTTTGATCTTTTATGCTACATTATATTTTTTTTTTCGCCCAAGCTACCTGCATTTTCCTCATTTCTCTTCCTTCCCAAACCTCCAACTATTAAATACGAGGATGTCTACCTACGCTTTTATGATTATCCTTTTTAATCCTAATCTTGAATCATGACCATCAGATGCGGGCTTCTCAGAACATGGAAAAGAAACTAGGCACAGGATCTTCAACAAGAATAGAAGACAAGAAAAGGTGTTGGAAAATCTTTATGTTCAAGTCATGATTGCTTGTCAAATACATATAAAATCAGGGAAATTTAGTACTTGAATGACCAGATATGAGTAAAACAAGACATTTATTCATGAACTTGCACAAAAATTGGTGAATATTGATGACAATTTCAAGTTACTCGTTCAACTTACAGACATCGATGAACTTTTGAACTGCATTGTGGTATTGTGTTCCCTGTGATATTAACAAGCACATCATTCAAGTTAGCATTGTCTAGATACGTATATCTGTGCATGCACAAATACAATAACAATAAAATTATAGATAGAGAGACTTGGAGATGAAATAACCGAACGAGAGAATATAATGTGCCAAGTTGCATGCATGTTTGCCATAATATATAGCGAATATTACATATTTGCTGGGAACTTTTTTGATTTTTTCTATTCGAATGTCATAACTTTTATTTATTTTTTCTATTTAAAAGTACAAACTTTCATTTTTTTAAAAAAATTAACTGTTTTTGTTATATTCTTGAATTTCTTGTCACGTAAATATGAACATTTTTCTTTATTACTAATTGAGTTTATATACTTTATTTTTTTCTAATTAAGTGTATATACTTTTATTTTTTCTATTTGAATATATGTATTTGTAAAAATACATTTGAATCTAATGAATATCCATTTTGCAATCTTATATAAACCATATTTTGACAAAATTAAATAAGATTAAAAATTAAAACAACAAACAATAACAATAATAATCTTTTAAAGAAGAAAGAATAAAATATCACTGTCGAAATAAAAAAGTCAATTACTCAATTTCCCCCAATTTCTCACAAACCAAACAAATTTCCATCACTAATTTTAAAAGGTAAAAAAATTAGCAAATTCATCATACAACAAAGCTGATTTTTTTCTTAATACAATTTTATATATTCTAATTTCTCAATAAAATCTTTGATCTCTCACATACATGTACATATATATATATATATATATATATATATATATTTTTTTTTTCATACCTATCTCCACAAAAACCCTACAATTTTTATAGTTGTTTTGTTGGTTTATTTGTTTTTTACTTGTTTACATTGTCGGTTACTGTCAACACAATTTTTTTTTTTTACTCCTTTTATTATTCTGTTCTTGTAATTTGAATAAATGTTTATAAGTTATCTTGTGTTAATTTGAATAAATGTTTTTTGACACACAAATAGAAAAAAATAAAAATATGCACGCTTAAATAGAAAAAAAATACATACACTTAGATGGAAGAAAAATATAGACACTCGATTAGAAATAAAGTAAAATGTTTATGCTGACATGATGGACAAGTCAGCATGTTGACATTTCAATTTAATAGTCATGTTACCATGAATCTAATAGAAACACTCGACTAGAAAAAAATTTGACAGTTTGCACACTCAAATTGGGAAAATTGAAAAGTTCACACACCAATTATATAATAATATCTAATATATAATCAAATCACAGGACAGGGTTTTCTGGCCAGCAATGACCAGGCATCACTTTCAATAATGGTCATCAGTATAGACACTACACATTTGTTTATGAACACTAAATGCAACCATGTTGCTCCGGTGAATTGTTAGGTGAAGGCTCCACAGAAACTTTCACATGGCTTCCTGGGAATAGAGGACTAATACCAGATGCATATTACAAGTTTCCTAGACAATACCAGCTGTTTCCTTCATAGATTGCTCAACTATTTAAGGTTTGATACTTATAAAGTGGTCAACCATCTTTGGAAAATAATTGAAATAAGCAAGAGTGAAATGAGTTACTAAGCAATACCTCCCAGTAAAGTTGATTGCATTCCATACACTGCCAGAACTCTAAATTTTTGTTAAACAGGCAGTTGGGAATTCTTTGGAAACCCTTTGCCGCTTCAACTGCCTCTTCTGTTGTCAGTGGCTTTTGAATGAACCTCCCATTGCATTTTGTGCACCTTGACATCAGCTGATCCTCATTGATTTGTAATTGGAAAGTTTCAATTACCTGCAAACTTCTTCAATTTTAGGCTCTAGAACTACGTTTCCTTACTCTCAATTAACAAGACATAAATTGCATATATTCATCTTCTGCCTTTACAACAGCACTATATCGCTTAGATTTTCATGGACATATTGACAATGCATGCCAAAAAGGAAGATCATTGATGTCTAATTGTATATAATAAGCAAAAAAGACACTCGGTATGGTGAGAATAATTATAAGCACAAACGAAGGCATTTCATGCAAAATCAACCTTAGGCAATTCACAAGAAATGACCTTTTCCCATTTCTGGTAATGTTTTTGAAGTTCAGCCAACATAAAATGTACATTTAATAGCAAAGCTAATCTGCTTTTCACTAGACTTGCACACCTATGTACCTCACGTAGTTGTTCATTTTTAAGAAGACTCTTCACCCTGTAGATTTGATTCTTTATCAAATATTGGTGTCTCAATAGCTTAGCATCTCGTGTCAAAAGCACTCTCTGCTCCCTGTATGCTTGATCTAATAACTCCCTGAATACAATGAACAACAGAATGAATAGCATTCACTTCTCGTGGCCAAAAGATAATCAAAGACAATGAATAACTACATAGTAGCATGCAGTCACATTTGCTGTTTGGTACACAAATTAAATAACGGACGGGTGAAAAAACGATTGCGGTCATCATCGCGGATCGCGGCTTACTATAATACTAAAATAACGGTAACGGAATGCTCCGAAACCGTTATATAACGGCTGTTATATAACGTAATGGGAGTTATTTAAAACTATGGGCATCCTTCTAAATACCTGGATTCTGGTTTTTTTGAACTTGGAATTGCAGCATCTACACCTACACACCGTAAATGTTTTGCCAAGCCTTCAACCTGTGCAAATACTTTATTTAGCATCCTGCTTACAGAATAAAATTAAAGAGTATGGATCTTATAACTCTAGTGGAAATACTGAGTTTATTTCCTAAAATAGGTATAGGCTAATGCATTTATTTCTTATCTTTAGTTGATATGATTTGAACTTGAGACCTATCTCAAAACAGTCCAATCCTTGTATGGCACAGCTGAAGCTGAAAGTTATTGACTGTGGACCATTACAAGCACGAGAAACTGGCATGTAATTAAACCATTTTTATTGGAAGTTGGCCTTGTTTTTGAAGCTTAAACTTTATAGTTGAAGAAAATTGAGCAGGCACCCCAAAAAAAAAAAACAAAAAAAAGTTTTTACCATCACATCGCATAGGAACTTTGGGCATCCATCACCACCTAAGGACATATCCCATGGTGGAGGGCCTTGCCAGTCACCAACATTGTCCAACTGCTTTTCTCTGGAAACGGCAACCAGCAAAGGGCGTTTTTTGCTTTCTTTCTAGTGGCTTTTGGTTTTCTGTCAGATTCTCTCAACAGGATTTTCTCACCATATTTTCTTACTATCTTTAGGAGAAATTCATCCATAGGCATGGTATTTCTGGATGATGTCCCGGAAACTAACCCCTCCACCTTTGCTATTCTTTGGCAGTTTTCTGAAGAAACAGTAGCTTGGACGATATCTGCAGCTTCAAAAAATTTCATCCTAATAATTTTATCATCAATGTCATGCTTCTCAAGAATTTCTTTTAAACCAAGATTTACACCAGAAGAATGAAGTTCCACCATGTTGTTAGAAGCATTCCCTGCAGTTCAAATGTATAAGACTTTCACAACCAGTTCAAATAATGTTATAGGCCTCAAAAAACATCAGAGAAAGAGAGATGAAACCATTAAGAATATCTCTAAATTTGTAATTACACCTGCTCTGTTAACAGGAAAACCCCACTTTTTAATTCTATTTGACTAAGACCTTGCACTCAAAAGTACAAGAGAAGTCTGAGCTACATTGCTCTGCACCTTATCCACACACTTGTCAGCAAAAATTGCATATGGTATCTGAATAACTTCCTTCAACGGTTCAACCTGCTGTTTTTGCTCCTTTGGGCCATTATAATTGTAATGGAGTTCTAGGACAGGTTTCAATAAGTTAGATACCTACAGAAGAAGGTTTCGTTCCAAGCTCATCCATAGAGTATTAAAACATCATTTCAAACAAGCATGCTCTGAAGTACCAGTCAACAAACTGGGGAACAAATTATATTGAGTTTATCTTAAACTATGAATTCTAGTAAGTTCTATAAATTGTAAAGTCACAAGTATGAACCTTTCAACCACCACGAACCTTTTTTGACAACATTGTCCTGGAAGACATTATATATTTTGAGCAAGCAGTGTGCATCAGCAGCTGCATATGTTTTTTGCTCTTCTGTAAGAGGACGATGCGACCAATCACTACATTGAAGTTCCTAAAGAAGACATAAGTTTTACAAATTAACAACTTAGTTAAAAATTACAGTAATTACATTCCAATCCCACAGGAAGTATGGAATCCGACCAGTCAACCCCTAAAAGGTACTCAATCAATCCTCCAGAATGCATTAGGAGATTTGGAGGAAGCATGCCATTTCATTAAGTTAATTATCTATTTAGCATCCACGCTTAAACTAAAATTCAAAACTGAAAGTCAAACATTTATAGAATTGTGTGATATTTGAACACCACGGAAATTCTAGAGATTCCAAGTAGCACAAGAAAGCAGCAAGTTATATGTACAATTAGTGATCTATAATCACTTTCATATAATTAAAATTAATCTCAACCAGTTTACACATAACTACAATGGTGCCTCAAAGAGCAGTGCAAATAAAGATTAGAAGGGGTATCCACTCCAGGTCCCAATAACTATCAAATACTAGTTTAATAATTGTTCATCTCATGCATTATGCAAGGGTAAAATTATAAATTATGAACTGGAATTTATTTCAGATTTTAAGCAGAAATAGACTACTTTAACTTTGATGCTAAAACTGATAAAAACAAAACAAATTTATAATATTGGAAATAAAAAAAACCGATAGGCGTCAAATTAACTGTCTTGGACCAAAGAGAAAAGAAAGTTTTGTCTTCACAATCAATGCAGAATAAAACTGAATCATCATTATTTTTATAAGTTAGTTATAGCAAATTAATGTTACTTCATTTATCATACTTTGAGTAGTACAGCCATTTCACAGAGTATCTATACATACTATACATGTTTTCTCAACATACTTAGCTAAATAGGTGAAAGTTTGAGGATAAACATCAAGCATTGATATTAAGTATAGAACAAACAAATCCCAAAGATTTCCATGACATAAAAATAAACAGTTATCGAATCACAGCACATTCCCAGTCCGGGATAGCATAGTTGCCGGAAATCTCAAATTAAGTTATTTCGAGTTTCAAACAAGAACTTGTGCATTCATCACCATACCTTTGAAAGAGAAATTCCCAATACTTCTTTGTAGATAGTTGCTAAACTCTTGGTTTCCTTCGGTCCCTTCCTTCCCGGTTGCTTATGTTGCATATGATAGTATATGCTAGTGATGTCCAGATACGGCTCCACCTATTCAGCCAGTGTTCAACAATTAAAAAAAAAAAGAAAAAAAAAAACAACGTTCAATCAACCCTCTGTAATCAATGATCACAAATTTTCTCAACCTTCAATAACATCTTAAATTATACTGAAGGAAATGAAATTGAAAAACCAAAAACCATCTTCCCATTTGATTCCTTTCTCACACAAGGATAAACACCAAATCAACCTCATTATCCAAAATCATCTAATCATTATTGCATTTACTGTATGCCATGATACTAGCCTATTGTCATTTCCTATTCATAATGATAAATTAAGCTAAAGAATTTCACTACAAGCTGAAACGATAAGCTATTCCAAATAGAAAACAAACAAAACAGAGGACAAATATCAAACAAAACAGAAACTGTACTGAAAAAGCAAGCAAAGTGTGGTTCTTTTCTCAGAAGCCAAACAACCCCTGATAGAAAAATTCAGTCATTACCTCACAGAAACAAAAACAGTACTTCAAAGAACCAAAAATAAGGTTCTTTTCTTGGAAACCAAACAGCCTATTATAGAAAAATTGAGTTTTTTACCTTATGAAAACCAGGATCACATCCTTGTGAGCAAAAAGTTGAAGACAAGTACGCCAAATCCTGCTTAAATTTAAAACCCAATTTCAAAACATCAGGAGAATCAAAAACCTCTCTCAACAATTCCCATATTGAAGGTAAAGGGACTGAGTGCAGGTCAAGCAGGAAAGTTTCTGACTCGTCCGAGTCATGACCGAGTTGACAAGCGAGTTGGAGGAGTGACACAGTTGGAAAAGTGGGCTGGTGTGTCTGGCCTCGAATTGGCTTCCATTCGGCGTCCAGTCCAATGATGGAGGAGCGAGTTAGGGACCGAGTCAGGTGAGTGAACTCGGGTGACTCAGTTGATGTGACTAGGTGGATTTTGAGGGGCTTTTCGATTTGGAGATCCATGAGGAAAGCAAGAGACAGAGAAGGTGTTGGTTCTTTGTCCAATTTATTAAATAAACGTTTGGGTTTGGGCCCTATCAGATATTTACTAATGGGCTTGGACCTACAGTGAGATGAGAGATGAGCCCTAAGAAATTTGGGTTTCAGGTGGGTATTATTCTTCGAGCCGTTGTTCCATTGCATATGACCACGTGGAAAATGAAATGTCATATTTGACAAGGGTACGAAAATGGATGCTCTGCCTAACACAATAATTTTTTTTCATATTGTTTGATAATAAAGAATAAAATGATGAAAAAGCAAAATAAGAGTTTTGTTCTCTTTTTACATATGTCTGATTGAAAAAATAAAGTAAAAATAAAAATAAATAGTGAGAATTAAAATGAAAATTAAAAATAATTTTATTTTTATGTTCATCTCTCCTATAAAAATAAAATTATTATGATTATATATTTCTATGATTTTTATTATATCATAAGTGATGAAATTATTTTTTCAATTACTATTCTTATTTATTTTAAAATATAATATTAAAATTTTTAAATTAATTCCATTTTTTTCATTACTATTCAAAATGTTGGCTGGTTTGTTTTTTTTTACATTGAAAATTGTTGTCTCTTATGACTAGGTTCTGAATTGGAGTCCTGCTTTACTAGAACAACAACCTTCTCCCTTCAGAAAGTTGGAGGTTTTGAAAGTGCAATGTGATGACTGCAATTCTTTCACGATGCCTGCCCATGTTATGACCTACTTCCTTGGTGCTAACCTTTCTGCAGAACCTACACATGCGGAATACAAAACGGTACTCGCATATTCACATTTCTGTTCTTGCTAATAATATGACATGTTGTTATTGTCTAGCAAATGTTCATGTTTTTCTGGATTTCCCTAATTTATGGCATCTCATTAGTTAATGTTGTGTTTTAAGAATAAATTCAATTGGTGCAATGATAGGTAATTAACTCTGAACTTGACTATAAAACTTGTTCTTTTAACCAAGATTTGGTTAGAATTTATAAAACTACTTCCTTAGTATAACATTCTTGGATCATTGGTGATAGTTTCATACAATGTCATAAGGTTGACAGATTTTCATGATTGTCCACACAAGTAGCACCATGTTAAAGTTTCGGACACAGATAGGCAACTTGATTGATTAATCAATTGATTTGCATCTTGAAACACTCTGCTATATATACTTACTATGAATTGATTGTAACTACACAGGTTAGAAAGAAGGTTGTTAAGATCCTCTGTTACAGATTTGCTAGCTAAGTCCAGTGTTCCTAGACTTGTTAACTTCATTGCTTGGAATAATTGGATGGTGATTGCTGATGCCTGCTGGATTACTTGCTGTTTCCTGCCACCATCAAGAAACTCAAAGGTTTGGTCATCTGATCCATCTCGAATCAAGTATCAAATCTGAGTTTTTCCAATGATGCTGATCAAACAAAAGATCTAATTCTAGTGTTGCAATTGCTTTTTCATTAATGTTGTGGCTTCTACAATCTAATCTTCTGCCTGCATTACAATAAAATTTTGTTGCTGCTGTACGTTTTGATCCATTATTATTGCTGCTTGATCAATCCATCAAATAATAGCTTTGCGAGATCACTAATTTTTTTAAGTTCTGCTTCTATATAAACAGAATTTTGAGTCACTTGCATAAGTAATTTAATGATACAAAAATAAAAACTTAATTTTATATATATATAAAAAGAAAGAAAATCAATGATAGCAGCGTAAATATCATCATTTTTACAAATTGTTTTCGGATTCCTAAACGTTGCTAGTTGAATTTGCGGTTGACCGTTCATCGAGAAACGCCAACTCCTCGTAGAATAGCCAGGAATGAGTGAGAAACTCTCCACCTCGTCCGAGTTGTTGTGCATGCTGATTTCTGCTGCATTTTCTTCCAGCATAGAGTAGGAATTCGAACCAGCATCTGGCGATTAATTCCCATTTTCTCTCCATAGACTGACAACACATACGAGAATCGAAGAAGGAATAAATTACAAGCAAAAAGTAAAGGAAATAAGGGAAACGAAAAACAAAAATAAAAAAAGAAGTGATCACCTGCGGTTCTTCGTCTTCTTCCTGCCTCTTAATCAGCCGCTGGGCAAGTTTGCACCCTAAGGATAAAAGAGATCCATTCAGGTGTTGCATCATTTGACGTGGTTCATCGGTAATTAAATCTTTGTGCTGATCTAACAACCATTTGGAGGCCTCGATTTTAATCTTGCTTTTTCTTTCTTTCGGGGTGCCGACTTGATCATCTGCTTGTGGTTTAAATGATTCCATAGCTTTCCTGCCTTCCTCACAAGTGAGTTTAAAGTTGATCTGACCAATTGCCCCACTTGCTGGCAACGTTTCAGGTGAAATGGCGAGGAGATACATCATATATCTAGAGATGCGCTTGCTCATCTTCCAGTTTAAAACGACATTATCATTCTCATCCATGGCTCGTCTGGTTTCCTTTTTTCTTTGGTGAAATAGCCATGATCTAGGTGATAGCAGAGTTCTGTAGCAATGTGCCAAGCAATAATTGTTTGCTGAAACTCTACAGTAAAGGTGAAAAAGAAAATGGTTGAGTCCCAGCACTCCAAATCTGCTAACGTGACACCTCCTCTACAAGACCCGATTGTAACTGCATTTCCCGGATGTGTATTCAAAAATCTCCTATGTTTCATGGAATGCATGACTAGCCATTTTTTCAAAACCTCTGGGACTCGACAATAAGCTGCATATCGTTGTTTTTCTAGCTGTTGGTTAAGTTTTAAAAGGTTTAGAATTCCACGGAAATCCAAGGGTTTTTCATTGTGGAAGTAGCTTACCATATTGTATTGACCCATGGACTTCGACCATCTAGGATTTCGAAGTAGTGGGAGAGAAGTAATGGTTCGTAAGATGTTACTTACGTTATCTTTTCTCAACCAGACAAGAGTGCGGTCTGACAATAGCAACGAAAGTGCTGCATAAAGCTCTAAAACAATTGCCACAGCAAGTAATAAAAAGGTTGTGCAAAGATCGACCTTTGAGTACTTGTGTGTTTTGTGTGGTTCCCAAGAAACTAACACCAGCACAAAGCTGGTGAGAAGAAAACTCAAGAACCGCAAGCCAATGCCATAGCGGGTGTAGGTGACAAGTGCCTTTGTATAGAGAATGTCATACATAAATCCAAGCTGCACTTCAATTACCTTAAAAGCATCTTCAGGACATATTTTCTCCAAAAGATTGAAGGTCAAAACGGACGGTTCAGTTGCAGTTATTGGAACACCTGCAAAGAGACGCTTAGCCATCTTGAACATCTCATCGGCGACTTGAAGTAATTTGTCATCAGAAATATTAGAATCAGCTTGAACATCAGAATAAGATTGCAACTTAATATGATAAGTGGATATTGATGCCTTACGACGCTCATAGCTTGCAGACCACAAGACCCATGTTCTTTCTCCATACTTGATAAGCCCTGCCAACATCATTGGAATGGTTAGAAATGAAACACGAGACCCTCTCCACCCTGCGAAAAGGATGTAAAATGCAAATCCTGTCTGGGCAACCAATTGAAGCAAGTGCCTCGACCATAACTGGTTGTCCTCCAAAGAATAGGCCGTGATTGTGTCAGGCCCACCCAAGTGCAGTAAGAGAAATGGTGCCCAAAATGCTGTCAGCTCAAGTTTTGCATCCAAAGGTCCAGAATGATAAGCGAATCGATTTGTGAGGAGCCCAAGAGCACTAGTTGCTATAAAATCTGCCATTAAGTAAGCAGGCCATACAATAACTGTGATCCAAATATTCTTAATATACTTCCGACGATTGCCGAGAAGGATAAGTATTATTTGGAGAGTGAGGCTAAGCAAAACCAACGTCTGCAGCTCCCATTGATTCCACAGTTTCTTTAAACTTGAAGACAGTTCCTCCATCAGTATCAACCTATATATATATATATTCATTCAAACAATTAAATTACTGACAACTGAAACAAAACTGCATCATCAGATTAAAAAAAGTGAAGCTGAGTAGAAAACATTTACACCAGTTAAAAGAGGCAGAAACCAATGTCAAGTGGATATATACACATTTTACGTCAAGAAACAAAGAATATAAAGTTACTATATTATTCTATATGAACAAAAAGAAAATGAATAACCTTCATTAATGTTATATTAAAACAAAAGTTGATAGAACAAAACTAGCATGCAAATGAATTTTTGTTAAGATGTACGTACCTCTTTACAAGCTGACGCTTGTTGAAGTTCTGCCACCTACTGTGATAGCTTAACTAAGAGAGAATAGTCTGAAGGAGAAATTAAGAAAATAAAATCTGAGTGATTGATGTTATTCAGGTTATTGAAGTTGATATAGTACTGGCAAATGAATATCTTTGATACCCCTCTCCCTTCCCAGGAAAAGAATTTAAGAAAGATGCAAAGCTTCTAAGACAAGAACACAAAATCTGCATTTTATTTTCTCTCACTGTATGGAAATAAATTGCAAGCAAGGAAGCAAATTAGATGTACTTTAAACAAAGGCAAAAGGTTTAATTATTCTTTTGCTAGGACAGCACCTGTGTTGAACACATAATTCATTTCTCTTTTTCTCTTTGGTCGGTGTTAGGTTCCTCCTCCTTTATTCTTCTTCCCTTCTTCCCCAGGCAACCTGAGGGTTATGAATTAATACCAAACTAGTTATTCCATACGGTAAAAGAAAAAAAGGAGCAGAAAGGAAACATGGTATAGATTATAGATTTTCGATCGATTGCCATTAGTTCTATGAGGATGTATTATGTATTATTTAATAAAATGTTTATATTTCATGTTTGAATTTAGATATATCCTATGAATATATTTGGTTTTGATCAATAAAAAAAAAGAGCTTGCAATTAATTATTAGCATACCAAATTTTGAAGCAAAACAATGAATTGTGAAACTTTGAGCCATAAACATGACATTTCATCTACTTTGCAGTGGTCTAACGATCTCTTTAGTAAAATCTCAACACAATCAATTTGATTCTTGTTCAACATCTTAGCCTTTTCTTTTTCAATATAGAATTTTTTTTCCCTGACTAGATTTTCTCTATCTCTCTTTTGATTTGACGTAAATTGAGAGTGAAGCAACAGACAAAAGTGATAGAAATCTGGCTGCGGCTAGAGAGGAAGGTACGACGTGAGGTTGGCTGGTTTCACAGAGCAACGACGACTTCACTCTCTTGGCAAAAGAAGGATAAAGGGCCGGTGCCATCTGGATCCGTTTGGCTTAATGGGCTGGTCTGATTGGACTCATCCAACTTGCGGGGATGGGGGCGCTTTGGAGTGATAGAAATCTGGCTGCGTCTAGAGAGGAAGGTACGACGTGAGGCTGGTTTCACAGAGCAACGACGACTTCACTCTCTTGGCAGAAGAAGGATAAAGGGCCGGTGCCATCTGGATCCATTTGGCTTAATGGGCTGGTCTGATTGGGCTCATTGTTTACATTTATTGATGATTTTAATTTGATTTTTTGGCATGTGATTGTTGTAGAAAAATATAAATCAAAGAGGGCAATCAAAGGATGGTTGGAGTGGGGTAATTATTGTCTTTAATGATATTATTTCGTATTTTCAGGATTAAATCAATCATTTTTGGAATTAAAATCTAGAACATAAATAACAAGAACTCAATAAAGAACTTTGAAGGAAAAAAGGAGAAATGATAACGGGCTGGTGCCATCTGGATCCATTTGGCTTAATGGGTTGGTCTGATTGGACTCATTATTTACATTTATTGATGATTTTAATTTGATTTTTTGGCATTTGATTGTTGTAGAAAAAATATAAAACAAAGAGGACGATCAAAGGATGGTTGGAGTTGTGTAATTATTGTCCTTAAGGATATTATTTCGTATTTTTCTTGATTAAATCAACCCTTTCGGGATTAAAATCGGGAACATAAATAACAAGAACTCAACAAAGAACTTCGAAGAAAAAAAGAAAAATGATTTTTTTTTTTTTTATGTCTTCAATACTAACAATAGAGGTGGTATTTATAGGCTAATGTAGATTGGTTTGGTGAGAGAAACTTAGGGATAATGGTGGAGTAAAATCAAAGAGCACCACTAAAAATCTAGACCGTTAAACGGTCATAATGTGCTTGTTTCCTAGCAGCAAAAATAAGAGTTATCTTGAACAAATCCACCTCGAGCAAAAAAACTTAAATGGGTGAACTAAAAAAAGGCTTAGATTGGGCCTTGTTATTGTGCGTAGGGGAGGCAAACGGGCCGTTTTGCCTTAGCTTGGCTCAACTCATTTTTGCACAAACCCAATCCTTTTTATTGCCTTTTACAGACCTCATAACACATTTCTCTTCATAAAGTGTTATCTCATGCATCTTCTTTAGTAACGTGGGATAAAAGGTTTTGAAAACCTTTTGAAATATTCACAACAATCCCCCACATATTTCAAAAGGTTTTCATAGGTATAGGATTTTGTCGGCTTTATACCGATAAAATATATTAAGCCTAGTGCCTTTTGGGTTATGAACCGGACTTCGAATGAATAAGACTTAATTTACTAAATTACCGATGAAATTTGCAATTTCTACGAACCAATAATCCTTGTAGCAAATTATTGATCTCACCATTCACATTCACCCCCACAACTTTGGTGTTTAACCCGAGTTTTACGCTAAAAGGCCATGTGCATGCCTCGTCATTTTTTAGTGTTTTAGAGATTTTGCCAAAGAATCTCATAAGAGCGGCCCCACTCCACATTCGTATAGGTGATTGCATCACGTATACACTAAAATTCGTACACCATTCATAAGAAATCGAAGTTCATTAAGAATTTAACTCATTCTCACTTTAATTTCAGTATAACACCACACATCATAGAAAGAACTTGAAAATTAATGCTATCACAAAATCAACAAGTGACTTGTTATTACCCATATGAACCTAATTTATGGGATTGCCAATTATATAGGTTGGGTTACCATTACCGTTAATGTCTCGAGTTGGCTATAGTCCCATTCCCTTCGATGTTTCATATATTAACTTTTTTCCTACGGGTTTAATGAGAGGATCGACCAAATTCACTTCGACTTTATATAAGCAATGGAAATATTTCCATCTCTAAGCAATCGCTTTACCACTTCATGTCTCAATTAAAGGATTTGTTTTTCACAATGGCTATTGTAACTTGACAATCACAATGCATAGACACTAAAGGTGTTGGTTTCATATCTAACGGAATATTGGTTAAGAAATTCCTTAACCACTCGACTTCATTACCAACCAGTTCCAAGGCAACAAACTCGAACTCCATGATGGATTTAGCAATAATAGTTTGTTTGGATGATTTCTATGTTATAACACCCCTACTAAGGATGAACACATATCCACTAGTGAATTTTATCTCGTTTGAATCGGAGATCCAATTTGCATCGTCGTATCCTTTTAATACAACGGGAAATCCACTATATAGAATACCATAGTTCATGGTACCTATCAAATATTTCATTATACGGACTAATGCAATCTAATGATCACAATTGAGATTTTGAGTATATTTGCTTAACCTACACACTCGCATAAGCTATGTTAGGCCTCGAGAAACTCATTAAATGCATCGGACTCCTAATAATCCGAGCATACCGTGGTTGAGCAATACTCGTCCTATATTTATCTTTAATTAGGTGTTTGCATTATAAGAAGTACTCATAGGGGTCACATTAAAGTGTCCAAACTTCTTAAGAAGTTTATCAACATAATGTTGTTATGTCAACATTATCCCATTATCATTCCTTATGATTTTAACACCCAAAATGATATTAGCTTCTCTTGTATCTTTCATATCAAATTTAGAAGCTAGGAGTTTTTTAGTACTAAGTACTATATTGAGACGAGTATTAAAAATTAGCATTTCATCCACATATAAACAAATAATTACATATTCATTGTCCATAAGTTTTGTATAAACACATTTATCCACTCCAACAAGTAGTAAAACCATCACTCAATATTACTTAATCAAATTTCTCATGCCATTATTTAGGTGTTTGCTTTAAGCCATATAATGAATTAAGCCACTTACAAACTTTATTTTCTTAACCATGACCCATATAACCCTCGAGCTATATCATGTAAATCTCTTCTTCTAAATCACCATTCAAAAAGACAGCTTTTAACATCCATTTGATGTATAAAAAGTCTATGGATGAAAGCTAAAGCTATTAAAACTCGTATATAAGAGATTTTAGTAACAGGAGAAAAATTGTTAAAATAGTTAACACTTTGTTTTTGTGTAAAACCTTTAGTAACAAGTTTAGCTTTATATTTTTTGATAGTACCATTGAGGTCAAATTTTCTTTCGAAAATCCATTTGCAACCAATAGGTTTTGCTCCTTGAGGTAAATCAACTAAAACACATGTTTTGTTTTGTAAAATAGAGTCAAATTCATTTTTAATAGCTTATTTTCAAAAATGTGTATCGAAGAAGAAATGACTTAAAGTAAGTCAAAAGATCATTATTAATAAGATAAATGTAGAAATCATTACCATAGGAAAACTCTTTCCTTGGCCTCTTACTCCATCTCATGACATCATTTGAAATCTCATTTTCACTTCTAATAGTAGGCATATGAGAAATTTTCTCGTACAATGGAAAAATGTGTTCAAAAAATTCAGGATTCTTTGTTTCAATAATGGTGTTACAATAAAAAAACATCACTTTTCCATACTAAAAATCTATATGCATCACTATTTTGAGCATAACTAATGAATATACAATCAAAAGTTTTTGATGTAATTTTTCTTTTTTAGGATTAAGAAGCATAACCTTAGCAAGACAATCCCAAACTTTCAAATATTTCAAATTAGGAGAATGAATTTCCATAGTTCATATGGAGTCTTACAAGTAAGGAATTCTATTTTATAAATGACATGTAAATAAAATTGCTTCACCCCACAAATTATTAGATGCAAAAGAACTAACAAGCATAACATTCATCATTTCCTTCAAAGTTCTATTTTCCTTTCAACTACACCATTAGATTGAGGAGAATAAGGAAGGGTAACTTCATGGATTATTCCTCCCTTCTCACAAAAATCATCAAACATCATATATTTATCACCTTTATCTAATCTAACTTTTTTAATCTTTTTACTAAGTTGATTTTCTACCTCAGCTTTATACAACGAAACATGTTAAAAGTCTTATCTTTATTTCTTAACAAATATGCTTTTGCATATCCGGAACAATTATCTATAAAGGTGATATAATATCTCTTACCTCTCTAGTCAAAGTTTGTTTTAGGTCTCCTAAATTAGAGTGAATTAAACTAAGTAGTTTAGATTCTCTATATATAGGTGCACAAGTTTTCTTAACATATTTTGTTTCAAAGACAAATACAACATATATCTATATAAGAGTTAACACCGGATATCAAGCAATGGATTACTTCGTTTGAATATAAGAAACACTAATATGTCTTAGTCTAGCACGCCACAAATCAACAACGTCAATCAAATAAGCGTAAGAAGATGCATTATTCTCATTTATAGCAGAATCAATTTTAAGTACAAATAGGCTAAGATAGCCTTTTTCAATAAAAATATTATTTTTTATCATAACAATTTTGTCGATTCAAATGAAACTTTAACCCTATTCTTTCCCAGCAGAGCCATAGAAAGAAGATTTGCTCTAATCGTTGGAACATGCAGCGCCTCATTTAAGGCTAATGTCTTGCCCGAAGTGAACTTCGGTTGGACTTTGCCCTTTCTTAAAACCTTTGCAATGTGAGAGTCTCCAAGGTAGACCACTTCTTCTTCATCCCTTATAGGAGTGTAAGAGGAGAACACATTTTTGTTTGTAAAAATATGTCTAGAAGCCTCGCAGTCTACCACCCAGTCTCTCATACTTGCCACAAGATTGGCTTGAGAAATTACGAGTAACAATTATGTCATCTCCCTCAATAAGATTTGCTTTGGAAGGATATTCATTTCTCACTCTCCTCCTGCGTTGAGCTAAATGATGGCCAGGATTCCCATAAACAAAGTAATTACCTTTCTTTTTAAAGATGGGGTTAGCAACCTTAGGCTTATAGTCGGGTTTCTTATGAGCGTACCTTTTGTTTTAAGACTTAACTTGTAGCATGTTTACCTTTGAAGCCAATTCCTTATCCTTAGAATATCGAACCTCTTTTTGATTAGTATCTTCAATTATTATATGAGTGATTAAGTTAATAAGAGATAATTGCTTTTGCTTGTGATTTAGCTAGTTTTTGTAGTCACTTCAAGTGCCTATCAACTTTTCCATTAGTAGCCTAGCCACAAAGTCTTCCGGTAAGGTGATGTTTTTTACTTTTAGGTCTTCAAGCAATTTATGATATTCATTGATTTGAGCCTTGATGTCTTTATCATTCGTCATCTACCATTTGTAAATTTTTCCAATTACAAATTTCTATTTGCCGACATTTTCAACGAGTGTACTTGGTAACCATTGACTCCTAAATTGTTTTTGCCTCCTTGTAAGTGTAGTAAACTTCGGACGGGTCATTAGATAATGTACTAATTATAGCGTGCCTACATACCTTATTAACTTAAATCCATGCTTCGTATTTGTATTAGTTTTGAGGTCGGATAGTGCCCAAGCCACAACATGCATGTTGAGGATGGAGTAAATACATTCCTGTCAACTCTCGAAGTTCCGACCACTAAAGACTTCTATCTTGGAGATGTTGAGAAATGGTTTGGCAAACGACATCACTAAAAATTAAAGGCACGAGTAGGTGTAGAGACTCCACTATGGGTTGCGGTAGGTTCTATTCCGGTTTTGGGCGGTAGTAGCATCAACGGAGGCGGGGTTAGCGACGAAGCATCCATGGCAGTAACTAATATCCTTAAGATTGTTGTAGAAAAATATATAAAAAAAGAGGGCAATCAAAGGACAATAACGATTGGAGTTGTATAGTCACTGTCCTTGAGGATATTATTTCGTATCCTCTAAGATTAAACCAACCTTTACGAAGTTAAAACTAAGAATAGAAATAATAAAAATAATAAGAACCCGAGTAAAGAACTTCGAAGGAGAGAGAGGGAGAAACGATTCTTTTTTGTGTGTATTCAATATTGGCAATAGAGATGGTATTTATAGGCCAATGTAGGCTAGTTTGGTGAGAGAAAGATGAGGATAATGGTGGAGCAAAATCGGAGAGTACCACCAAAAATCTAGATTGTTAAATAGTCATAATGGACCCGTTCTATGGCTGCAAAAATAGGAGTTATCTTGAACAAGTTCAACTTAGGTAAAAAAACTTAAATGGCGAGCTAAAAAAAACAGCTTGGATTGGGCCTTGTTATTGCACACGGGGGGCAAACGAGCCGTTTTGCTTTAGCTTGGCTCGAATTGTTTGTGTGCAAAGCCAATCCTTTTTGCTTGCCTATTACAAGCCCATAATACATTTCTCTTAATAACTTATTATCTCATGCTTCTTCTTTAGTAATGTGGGATGAAAGGTTTTGACAACCTTTTGAAATATTCACAACAATATATACTTTGAAGGTGTGTTTTTTTTTTTTTCTAATATCATTTTCAATTTATTTCCGATTTGTTTTTATTTATAATTTTCTTTTGAAAATCAGTTTATTTAATGATTTTAATATCATTTTTAAGTATCTTAACGTTAGAATAATATTCATATAATATTTTCTCGTATCTATTTCATACCTACATGAAGTCTCAATGGGTTGGTCTGATTGGACTATCACTTTTTACATTTATTGATGATTTTAATTTGATTTTTTGGTATGTGATACATACTTTGAAGGTGTGTATCTCTCTCTCTCTCTCTTTAATTTTCTAATATCATTTTCAATTTATTTCAGATTTGTCTTTATTTATAATTTTCTTTTGAAAATCAGTTTGTTTAATGATTTTAATATCATTTTTAAGTATCTTAACGTTAGAATAAAATTCGTATAATATTTTCTCGTATCTACTTCGTACTTACATAAAAGGTGTCATGTATTTCACTTAATATTTTGAACAAATTAATATTAAAAAAATATTTAGTTAAGATAAATATTAATGATTAAAATAAAAAATTATGTTATATAGTTGGATGTTAAAATTACTTAATAAGCAATATATCAGTAGGAAATATTTTTTCCAATTTTCCTTTCCTTTAAAATCTTAGATAAGTTATTATTTGCAAAACTTATAGTGTCTATGGATTGCCTTTTTAAATAATAGGACAATAAATAAAAAATAATAATTTTTTTAAATTCATTTACTTTTCATTATGACAATGTCCTATATACTTAATAAAAATTCAACCTAGTGACCTTATATTTAGTTTTTAAATTTATGTCCATTAATATAAATTATAAGGTATATTATTATTTACTTTAATTCCAGAATTTTTTTAAAATAATAATTTGATGGAAGTGGTAGAATGAGATATTTGACATATTTTGTGTATGTATGAAATAGATATGAAAAATGGGGGAAAAAAAACATTAAAATATTATATAGAAAATGGCTTACCAAATTTGGAGTTTGTTTGGTTTATTTTGCAATGTTTTCCTTCAATAACAGTGTTTCAACATAAAAAAGTAGTGTTTTCAAATATCTTAACATTGGAATATACTAAAGAAAAATATATTTTGTATCTTTAATCAAGGTTAGTTAGGGAGGCCGTGTCAGTTTTAACCTTTACGATTCCCACTAATAGCATACTAAGCACAAGCTAATAAGAGTTAAGACATATAAAAATCTACAGTTTTTTTTTTTAATTGAAATAAGAAGGGAAAAAAATATAAAAATATAGTATTTCAATATAGTTTTTTCTTCAATTTTTATCTTGTAAATTAATGTCCATTAATACAGTTTATAAGTTATATTATTATTTATATTAATTGAATAATTTTTTAATAATAATTTGGTGGAAACAGTACTAGAATGAGATATAATATAAAATAATTTTTTATATATAAGATAGATGAAAAAGAAAGAAAGGAAAAAAAATGAAAATGTAAGATAAAAAATGGTTACAAATTTTGCAGCTTTTTTCTTCTTGATCATTAGTTTTTCAACATAATAGCTAGTTTATCTAATTATTCGAATGTTGGGTTATATACTAAAGAAACATATATTTTGTATATTTATCAAAGTCTAGGTGGGACATTTTTATTTTTAACATCAACCGTTCTAATTACCGCGAGCTCATAAGAGTTAAGACATACTAAAATCTATTTTTTTAATTGGAATATGAAATTAAAAATATGAAAATATAGTGTTTTTCTTTGAAATATTAGTTTTTAATTTTTTTTTCCAATTGATACAACTTATAAGATAAATTACTACTTATTATTTTAACTAACAAATTTTCAAATAATAATTTGGTGAAAAAGATAGAATGGGATATATGATATATTTTGTATATGTATAAGATAGATATGGAAAAGAAAAACAAGAAATATTAAAAAAGAAAAAGAAAATGTAAGATGAAAAAAAGTTACACAATAATTTTTCAATACAAAAAGTAGTTTCTCCAGTATCCCAGCATTGAATTATACTAAAGATACTTATTTTTTGTATATTTACCAAAGGTTAGGTAAAGAGGCCTTGTAATTTTAGAATTAAGACATATAAAAATCTAAGGTTTTTTTTTTTTTTGGGAATATAAATTTAAAAAGATGAAAATAGAATTTTTCCTCTAAAATTTTAGTTTTTTTTTTTAAATTTAATTTTGTCTATTGATACAAATTATAAGGTAAATTATTATTTATTTAATTGATAAAATTTTAAAAAATATTTTGATTGAAACTGTAGAATGAGGTATATGACATATTTTGTGTATATATAAAATCGATATGAAAAAAAGGGAAACTTATAAGGTAAAAAAAGGACATATTTTGTATTCTAGTTTTTTTTTTTTTTTTAATTGTTATCATCGATATAAGAAGTTAAAGACATGTAAATATAGTTTTTCCTCATAAATTTTTGGTACATTGTCTTTTTAGTTATCTCTATTCAGTTGGTTCATTTTTAATTAAAACTCTTGGCTTTTTATTTCTTTCAATTTCATCCTCAATAGGATCCTTTGTGGTCCTTATTTTCTCAATCTTTCTAATTGGCACCAGAATGTGTCTTTTTAATTATTTTTTTCTTCTTCTCTCTCTTCTTTTCTCCATTTTTCACATTGATTAATTTTAGAAACTCAAAAAAAAAAAAAACAAAATTCATAAAAACTAACAAAAATAGCTTAAATATTGAAAAATCAAATTGACTAAGAAACGCGTTTAATTTTTTGACATTTTTAGATTTTAATTAAAAAAAAAATCATGAAAAAATGTAGGCTAAAATTAGGTTCTAACAAGGTTGATGTGGTTTCAACAAATTGTCTAATGAGCAACCGCATCTCCAGATATATGATAAGGCCCAAAAAACAAAATTTCATCTCAGCTGTGCAGAAAGAAAACAAATAACAGTACATTGTAACTCAAAAGTGCTACTTAAATGCCCAATGCTTTTATTCTGTTGGAACTTCTTGTAAAGCATTTTGGTACGAGCTGGTCATTATCCAATACCAAAGCTTTAGAAGTTGCTGATTACTTTTTTGTTTATTGATCGTCATGAGCGGGTTCTGTTGTTGACAATTCATGGAGAGCCGTCAGCTCAGAAAAGAGAAGCCAGAAGTGAGTGAGAAACTCTCCCCCTGTCTGAGCTGTTGTGCATGCTGACTTCCTGTGCATTGCCTTCCAGCATAGACTAGAAATTCCATCCATACTCCAGCAATTATATCCCATTTTGTCTTCATATGCTGTCAACACGTGATGAAGGAATATATTAATCACTAACAAAAGTAAAAAAGAAAAAAGAAAAAGATAGGCGCCACCTGTTCTACAGAGTCATCCGGTTTGTGCTTGCTGAGAATGTTAGCAACTTTACAACCCAAGGATAAAAGAGATCCAGCCAATTGTTCTGATCCAATTTGAGATTCATCGGTAATTAGATTTCCTTGCTGCTCAAACACCCCTTTGGAGGCCTGAATTATAATCTTCCTTTTTCTTTCTTTTGTGGTACCGACTTGATCTAATTCTGGCTTGAAAGATTCTAATGCTTTCCTGGCCTCATCACAAGTGAGTTGAAAGTTTTTCTGACCAGCGGCCCCGCTTTCTGGTAACTTGTCAGGAAAAACGGCCAGGAGATACATCATGTATCTTGAGATGAGCTTGCTCATTTTACGATTTGATATAACAACATCATATTCTGCAAAGCCGGGTTTGATTTCGTCGTGATCTCGGTGATAGCAGAGTTCTGTAGCAATGTGCCAAACAAGGATGGTTTGCTGAAACTCTATTGTATAAGTTAGCGTACCAATTATAATGTCCTCATCTGAACTCAGACCCAGAACTTGCAACGTCGTAGCTCCTCTGATACTCATGGATGCAATGGTGGCTGCCTCCAGCTTTATCTGTCTTTTTTTCACACGATCCCAAAAAATCTTGGCTTGGATGACTAACTGTTCTTTCAAATCCTCCGAGACTTGGCGATAAGCTGCATACCGTTGTCTTTCTAGCTTTTCATTGACTTTTAAGAACTTCTGTATTCCATGGAAATCCATGGGTTTTTCATTGATGGTGTAGCTAAGCAAACTGAATTGACCCATGGAATTCGACCATCTAGGGTTTCTAAGAAGTGGGAGACAAGTAATGCAGAGTGAGATGTTGCTACAGTTATGTTTTCTTAACCAGACAACAGTATGATCAGACAATAGCAATACAAGGGTCGCATAAAGCTCTAAAAGAATGGCCACAGCAAGCAGTAAGAAAGTTATGTGAAGATCCACCTTTGAGTACGTTTGTTTGTTGTTAGGTTCCAAAGAAAATAACACAAGCACAATGCTGGTGAGAAGAAAACTGATGAATCGCAAGCCAATGCCACAGGGGGTGTAGGTCACTAGTGCCTTTGTATAGAGCATGTCATACATAAATCCAAGCTGCATTTCAATTACCTTAAAAGCATCTTTAGGAGACGCTTTCTCCAGAAGGGTTGTGATAACTTCTTTGTGGTTGGCCAAAGCAGACTGTTCTGTTGCAGATATTGGAAGACCTGCAAAGAGAATCTTAGCCATGTCGAACATCCCATTGGCGAGTTGAAGTAATTTATCATCTGAAAGATTAGAATAATCTTGAACATTAGACAGAGCTTGCATCATATTATGATAACTAGACGTTGATACGCTATGTTGCTCACGGTTTGCAGACCACATAACCCATGTTCTTTCTCCATACTTGATAAGCCCTGCCAACATTATTGAAATTGTTAGAAATGAAAGACGGGACCCTGTCCACCCTGCAAAAAGGATGTAAAATGCAAGTCCTGTCTGGCCAACCAATTGAAGCAAGTGCCTCGACCATAATTGGTTGTCCTCCAAAGAATAGGCCGTGATTGTGTCAGGCCCACCCAAGTGCAGTAGGAGAAATGGTGCCCAAAATGCTGTGAGCTCCAGTTTTGCATCCAAAGGTCCAGAATGATAAGCGAATCGATTTGAGAGGAGACCAAGTGCACTAGTTGCTATGTAATCTGCCATTAAGTAAGCAGGCCATACAAAAATTGTGATCCAAATTTTGTTAATATACTTCCGACGATTTCCGAGAAGGATAAGTATTATTTGGAGTGTGAGGCTAAGCAAAACCAATGTCTCCAGCTGCCATTCATTCCACAGTTTCTTCAAACTTGGAGTTGCCTCCATCTTTATCGACCTATATATATTCGTTCAAACAATCAAATTACTAACAACCGAAACAAAACTGCAACATCAGATTCAAAAAAGTAAAGCTGTGTACAAAACATTTACGCCAGTTAAAAGGAAACCAGCAGAAACCAATGTCAAATATATATATATATATATATACACACACATTTTAAGCCAAGAAACAAAGAATAGAAAGTAAGTTACTGTGTTATTCTATATGAACAAAAAGAAAATGAATAACCTTCACTAATGTTATATTAAAATAAAAGTTGATAGCAACAAAACTAGCATGCGAATGAATTTTTGTTAAGATGCTCGTACCTCTTTACAAGCTGAAGCTTGTTAAAGTTCTGCCACCAACTATGATAGCTTAACTAAGAGAGAATAGTCAAGAGAAGTTAAGAAAATAAAATCTGAGTGATCGATATGTTATGCAGGTTCTTCAAGTTGATATAGTACTGGCAAATGAATATCTTTGATACCCTTCTCCCTCCGCGGGAAAAGAATTTAAGAAAGATGCAAAGCTTCGAAGACAAGAGCACAAAATCTACCTTTTCTTTTCTCTCACTGTATGGAGATAAATTGCAAGCAAAGAAGCAAACTTGATGTACTTTAAACAAAGGCAAAAGATCTAATTATTCTTTTTCTAGGACAGCACCTGTGTGGAAACACATAATTTATTTCTCTTTTTCTTTTTGGTCGATTTTAGGTTCCTCCTCCTTTATTCTTCTTCCCTTCTTCTCCAGGCAACCTGAGGGTTATGAATTAGTAACAAACTTGCTATGCCGTATTGTAAGCATTCAGTTACATCTGAGAACTAGACTAATGGAAATCTGTATTACCAAGTTGAATTGTAGCTGAACTAGTCGAAGGGAATAATTCTTGAAAACGGGCTATGCTCGATCTCATCTTGCTACTTTGGACTAAGAAATATGAATGTCTAAACACTTGGTTCATAGTTTATATTCTATTTATAGCCTAGAAAGTTCGACATATTTCATTCCATCAATAATAATTTTTTATCATTCACCTATGAATTAAAGATCTCTCAAAGGAGAAATTCATCAAGGGATCAGTTCGCAAGAAACAGAAAATTAATTGACGCATTCGTAGGACAATGACGGTAGAATAATGACCATTTTATATACCTGGAGGAGACAGAGAACATTGTTTTTATATATTTATAGACTCGTATTGCTGGTTGGAGAAGAGGTGAAGAAAAGAAAGGAGAAGAAACGTGCCATGGACAAAAAACAAAAAGAGGAGAGAACTAAGTGTTACATACAGGTGCTTTACTTTCTAGCAAATTAAAGAACAATTACTCCCATTTGTTTTCTACGTGGACCAAAAAGCCTTAGAATTTATGTAACGGCATGATAATGGTGGTGACGTGATTTGGGATTGTCGGCCCACTTTTGAGAGTTTTTAGACATAATTCGATGTCAAATGACCCAAACGAGCAAAACTCATGGCTTTACCAATGATGTAAGGGTGATTTTGACAAAAAAACATCGTTTAGATCCTCAAAATTGTATTTCACTGTTTTGCGGCATTTTTAAGGTTTTTTCTTATTTAATTTTGGATTTTTAGTGTTTGTTTCCTTCTCAAATTTCTTTAAGGTTTTTACTATTTATGTAAGACTTTTAGGCAAAAAAAAAAAAATATATATATATATATATATATATCACTTTTGCTTGATTAATAAATTTTGTGAGAGAGTATCTCAATTTTTTCATTTCCCGACATTCTTTGAATTAACGTGTTTGAAGTCTATTTTCTTATATTTATATATACAATTCAATAAATTATAATAGATTGATATCTGAATTTCATATTAACGATATATATTTTTTTTTGTGAGTTTCCACTGTATAACTTTTGTTTGAAGTAGTCTTTACTTGCAGTTGTTACTTCCATCAGTACAAGAAAAAAAGCAAAAAGGAAAAAAAAAACATTTTCGATCGTCATTAGTCCTGTAAGGTAAAGGGACTGAGTGCAAGTCAAGTAGGAAAGTTTCTGACTCGTCCTAGTGATGACCGAGTTGAAGAGTGAACAGGAGGAGTGACGCAGTTGGGAAAGAGGGCTGGTGGGTCTGGCCTGAATTTGCTCCATTCGGCGTCCAGTCCAATGATTGAGGAGCAAATTAGGGACTGAGTCAGGTGAGTGAACTCGGGTGACCGGCTGATGTGACTAGGTAGATTTTGTGGAGCTTTCGATTGACTAGGTTGATCTGTTAGGAAAGCAAAAGGCAAAGGTGGCGTTGTTTCTTCGGACAATGTATTAAAGAAAAATTTTGGGCTCGAGCCCTATCAGATATTTACTAATGGGCTTGGGCTTTAAAACTTACTTGGAAAAACTTTGGGCTTGGGCTCTTCAATAAGCTGTCATCTTATGATTGCAGCTATCTCACTTCCAAAAAGTTGTTAATACAGGGTTTTCCTTAAGAGTGCTGGGATGAAGTTGTGTTTTATTTTTTATTTTTCTTTTTATATTTGTAAATAGTAGGGTATTTTTTATTTATCAGTTTTTCATATTAATCAAGATTAAATTCAATATTTTTTAGATTAAATAAGTATCAAAACACATTTAACTTTTGATTTACTATCGAATAAGTGTTGAATGTTAATAATACTTAGAAAGAAGATGAGATGCCATTACTATGTCGCTACCCAACATCAGGCGGAACTATCAAAAAATTTAAAATTTTTAGTTACGGAGTTATTTTCAAGTTTGGAGTCATTACTTAGTATTAAAGGAACTCGGAATTTAAAAATAACATTGGTGCGAGAGATTCTAAGGTAAAGAGTTTGTTATACTTTAAGAAGATATCGATCATCCAAAGACTCTCTTTTATAAGAAAAGTATAAAATATAGTTTAATCCTAAATTTATCTCCTAAAGTTTTTATTTGTATCAAGTTATTTCCTATTCAAACTCCAATTTTTTTAAATCAAATTAAATTTTTTATTTTTGGATGTGACATCATATTGAAATGATCGTCGAACTCCTTCATTGGGAGACACATCGGTTCACATATGGAATCTACTTTGAGCCTCAACACAATCGGTATGTCACAAAACATCTTGATTATTAAAAATGATTTCGTTTGACTAGCAACAATCCCTATCGGATAGGAGACTTTGTTAAAGGTTTTATAATTTATTTTTTATATTTTTAGCTAGTGGAAAAATCGTCATCGATCCCTAAAAAAAGAGATTTGACAATTATCCACCTTTTGATTACTTAATCTAATTACTAAAATAAAAATAAAAAATTATATTAATTAAATTAATTACAAGAAATTCAAACATTAAAATCTAAACTAAACATAAAATAACACATAAAATAAATTCAAAGTTAAAATTACATTAAATAACTAAATAAAAAAATTCAAACATCGAAATAGCAATCAAACATAAAATAAAAACATACAAAAAATTAATTCAAGATTAAATGAAATAAAACCAAGGCTTTTTTCTTCTTTTTCTCCTTTCTCTATCTCGCCAAGACTCCATGAACGAACCGAGTTGGTTCGCCTCCCCTTTTCTTCTTATCCTCTTTCTTTTTCTTTCCTTTTCTTGTTTTCTTCTCTTTCTCCTTTCCCGAATCTCCATCGTTCTCCTCCTCCTTCCTCTTCTCTCCTTTGCAATTTCCATGGTTTCTAGTTCGTTCTCTCCCTCTATCTCAAATCCTTCTTCCTTTTTACTCTTCCTATTAGTTCCTCTCTAAATTGAAAGCCCCTAGTTCAATTTTTTTTTTTACCAAAAATTTTCTCTAAAATTTAACCGAAAATCGAAGTTTCAATTTTTTGATTTTTTTTCTTTCAATTGGTCAATTGGACTTGATTTCCATTCCCTAACATCAATTTCAAATAATAAATAAAAACTTCAAATTTTCCGAACCTAACTCGTCTAAAAGTCCCAACCCTAAAATTCCAATTTTTGAAATTCTAGCTCATATTGATCTAGATTTGCATTCAATTAAAACTTCTAATTGATTGAAAAGCAAACACATGCATGTGTGTGATTGAGGGGGTCAATTTCGAGAATGGCGATGATGGATATCACTACCATCAACTTTTACAAATATAAATTACATTGAAGCAAATAAAGAATGGCTTACCACAAGAAGAATTGAGATTGATGATGAAGAAAAAGCCTCAATGGATTACTCGTTGCTCTAGAAAAATTTGATAAGATCCTCTTCTCTTTTCTCGTTTCTTTTCTTTGCATTTTGAATTTTTTTTATTGCCTTCAATTCCAGTAGCTAGTCCCAATTTATATGTGATTTCTTCGTGCTTTTCTTAAGTTTTCTCTTTCAATTTTTTTTAACTTTCAATAATAATTCTCCCTCCTTTGTGTTTCGTTATTGTTTATATAAGTCGCCAATTTATTGGTTCTCTACCATGATGGTGAGGGATTTTATAGGATTGTGGGAGTAGGCAATTGTGTGCTAGTCGTGGGGTGATTGCGGGGGTTATGACATGATGGGATGATTGCGAGTGGTTGTGAAGAATGGGGAGTTAGCGGTTGCATGCTGGTCGTGGGGTGATTGCAAAGGTTGCAAAGGTTATGGCATGATGGGGGTGGTCTGTAGGAGTTGTGAGGAGTGGGGAGTTAGTCGGCTATTGGAGTTGCAACACGATGAGGCAAGTACAAGGGGATGTCGTAGTAGTAGCGGATTGCTAAACCTAAATAGCAAGCTGGGTTGAGGAATTGTCTAGGATAACTAGGAAATGCACATAAGATGGAGGGGATTTGTCCCTTCATCCTTGTTTTCTTTGTGTGTGTGTGTGTGTGTGTGTACATATTCGTATTTTATGATTTTTTTTGTAAATTTTGTAATAAGTTCCAAGCAAATTAATAAAAACTTTTGTTGATTATCTAATTTCCCTTTTTTTTGTTGATTTTTTTTTACTACGAGCATAAAAATAAAAGAAGAAAAAAAAAACTAAAAATAACCTTTAAAAGTTTAAAATGAGCAAAAATTAGGATATGACATATTGTAGTATTTTTTTATTCCCAAATTATTTCTCTCTTTCTTCCATTCTCTTTCTCTCTCCTCAAATCATCTCTATCATCGTAATAAAGTTCAAATCCACCACCATGAAGGCTAGTGGGAGATGATGGTGGTGGGTTTGAGCTTTACTATGATACTGGAGATGGCTTGAGAAGAGAGGAAAAAAACAAGTAGATGAGAGAAATAAGGCATCAAAGAAATAACAATTTGAAAATAAAAAAAATACTTCAATAAGGACACATCATTAGTTTTTTCACGAGAACCGACGAAAAAACTAAATTATTGATGGAATTAAAACGTAAGGGACTAAAGTATTAATTTTTAAAACCATAGGGAGTAATTAATTCATTTGTTGAAACAAAAGGGACTCATTTATATTTTATTCTATTTGCTTCTTTACTTGTGATGGTTCCTATATACACTAAAAGCAAGAAAGAAAAATGAAAATAAGAGAGTGGTTTAATTCGTTTCTTAAAGAGAAGAAAGCAAGTGCAATAGAGCTACAAATATTCTTTAAAGGGAATCTTTACGAGGACAAAAATGAAACATTTTGATAAACTATTTTTAGATGGTATGAAATGGATATTAAATGAATCGATAGTTATGGTATGAGGTGGAAATAAATTTAGAAGTTAATATCTTAATGAATATAGATATATATTTTTTTTAATAGGTAGAGTAAGGGATTAAATTTATGGGTTGAATATCCCATCTATTATTATCCCTCGTCTTACTTTAATTTAAAGCATGGTATTTGCTTCTTTACTTGCTATGGTTCTTAACATATGCAAAAAATAAATAAATAAAAGAATGGTTTAATTCTTTTCTTGAAGAGAAGAAGGCGAGTGCATTAGCATTACAAATATTCTTTTTAGCTGGCACTAAATTCTATAAAACTAGGTAACCAAATCATCAACTATATATGTTTTATTTTTAACATTCAGGGACTTGACTGAAAGAACTTTATAAAGTAAGGATTAAAATATTTTTATGAATTTTTCGAGACCAAAAAACATATAAATAGAGAACTAAATTGAAAAAATTACTTTTACGGACGAATACAATTTTTTTTTTGAAAATTATAGGAACTAAATGTAACATTTTGGTAAATTAATAACATATTTTTATGAATTTTTGAGGACCAAAAAACTTATAAATAAAGAACTAAATTGAAAAAAAATTACTTTCACGGACCAATACAACTTTTTTTTGAAAATTATAGGGACTAAATGAAATATTTTGGAAAATTAATTTTAAGGGGTATGAAATGGATATTAAATGAGCAAATAAAGTGAATATGAGTTTTAGATGATAATTTTTTTAATAGGTGTGGACAATGCTTTATTTTTTTAATAGATAAGTAAGAAATTAAATTAATGGGTAGGATACCACTTACCTTGACATCCCTATTATCCCCTCAATTTAAAGTATAATATTTGCTTCTTTGCTTGTGACGGTTCTTACCTTACATTAAAGGCAAAAAATAAAAATAAAAATGAATTAAAAAACATTGTTTAATTCTTTTCTGAAGAGAAGAAAGCAAATGCGTTAGCATTACAAATATTCTTTTTGTCATCACTAAATTCTATAAAATTAAGTAACCAAATCATCAACCAGGTTTAATATTTAACATCCAACAACCTGACTGCACAAATTTTGTAAATTAAGTACCAAAATGTTATTTATAAAAAAAAGGACCAAAAAACTTATAAATCATTGATAAAAGCTATGCAAAGAGGGTATCTCTTATTTTCAAACAACTGATAGCTTATTATTAGTATTATCATTTCAAATACAGGCTCAGATAAAGTAACTATCATTTATAGATGAAAAAATAAAAACTAATTTTTATATGTAAAAGAGAAAAAAATGAAATGAATGATAGCAACGTAAGTATCATCATTTCACAAATTATTTTCGGATTCCTAAACATCGCTACTCGAATTTGTGGTTGACAGTTCATCAAGATACGCGAACTCCTCATAGAAAAGCCAGAAATGAGTGAGAAACTCTCCACCTTGTCTGAGTTGCTGTGCATGCTGATTTCTTCTGCATTTTTGTCCAGCATGGAGTAGAATTTCGAACCAGAATCTGGCGATTACTTCCCATTTTGTATCCATAGACTGACAACACAAACGTGAAGAAGGAATAAATTACTAACAAAAAGGAACGTAAATAAGAGAAAGGTAAAACAAAAAATAAAGTGATCACCTGCGGCTCTTCATCCTCTTCCTGCTTCTTTACCAGACGCTTGGCAAGGGCGCACCCCAATGATAAAAGAGATCCATTCAGTTTTTTCTCCATTTCATTTCGTTCTTCGGTAATTGAATCTTTTTGCCCATCAAACAACCATTTGGAAGCCTCGATTTTAATCTTGCTTTTCCTTTCTTTGGGGGTGCCGACTTGATCATCTGCTTGTGGTTTAAATGATTCCATAGCTTTCCTGCCCTCCTCACAAGTGAGTTTAAAGTTGATCTGACCCATTGTCCCACTTGCTGGCAACGTTTCAGGTGAAATGGCCAGGAGATACATCATATATCTGGAGACGTGCTTGCTCATCTTCCAATTTAAAACGACGTTATCATTCTCATCCATGGCTCGTCTGATTTCTTTTTTTCCTTTGGGGAAATAGCCATGATCTAGGTGATAGCAGATTTCTGTAGCAATGTGCCAAACAATGATTGTTTGCCGAAATTCTATCACACTGCTTAAAAACCAAACGGTATCGTCGTCGTAATTCAAATCTTCTAATATTATAACTGCTCTCACAAACCTGTCGATTGTCGAACCTTTCAGATCTTGCAAAACTCCCCTAAATTTCTTGGAATGCATGACTAACCATTTTTTCAAATCCTTCGGGACTTGACAATAAGCTGCATATCGTTGTTTTTCTAGCTCTGGGTTAAGTTTTAAAAGGCTTAGGATTCGACGGAAATCCATGGGTTTTTCATTGCGGAAGTAGATTACAATATCGTATTGACCCATGGAATTCGACCATCTAGGATTTCTAAGTAGTGGGAGAGAAGCAATGGCTGGTAAGATGTTAACTAAGTTACGTTTTCTCAACCAGACAAGAGTGCGGTCTGACAATAGCAATGAAAGTGCTGCGTAAAGCTCTAAAACAATTGCCACAGCAAGTAATAAAAAGGTTATGCAAAGATCGACATTTGAGTACTTATGTGTGTTTTGTGGTGCCAAAGAAAATGACACCAGCACAAAGCTGGTGAGAAGGAAACTTAAGAACCGCAAGCCAATGCCATAGGGGGTGTAGGTGACAAGTGCCTTTGTATAGAGAATGTCATACATAAATCCAAGCTGCACTTCAATTACCTTAAAAGCATCTTCAGGACCTATTTTCTCCAAGAGATTGAAAGTCATTTCTTGTTGGTTAGCCAAACTGGACGGTTCTGTTGCAGCTATTGCAACACCTGCAAAGAGGTGCTTAGCCATAATATTGAACATCCCATAGGCGACTTGAAGTAATTTGGCATCAGAAATATTAGAATTGGCTTGAACATCAGAATAAGATTGCAACTTAATATGATGAGAGGATATTAATGCTTTACGACGCTCGTAGCTTGCAGAATACAAAACCCATGTTCTTTCTCCATACTTGATAAGCCCTGCCAACATCATTGGAATTGTTAGAAATGAAAGACGGGACCCTGTCCACCCTGCGAAAAGGATGTAAAATGCAAATCCTGTCTGGGCAGCCAATTCAAGCAAGTGCCTCGACCATAACTGGTTGTCCTCCATAGAATAGGCCGTGATTGTGTCAGGTCCACCCAAGTGCAGTAACAGAAATGGCGCCCACAACGCTGTCAGCTGGAGTTTTGCATCCAAAGGTCCAGAATGATAAACGAATCGATTTGTGAGGAGACCAAGTGCACTAGTTGCTATAAAATCTGCCAGTAAGTAAGCGGGCCATACAACAATTGTGATCCAAATTTTGTTAATATACTTCCGACGATTACCGAGAAGGATAAGTAGTATTTGGAGAGTGAGGCTAAGCAAAACCATTGTCTGCAGCTCCCATTCATTCCACAGTTTCTTCAAACTCCGAGACAGTGCATCCATCAGTTTCTTCCTATATATATTTATTAAAACAGTCAAATTACTGACAATTGAAACAAAACTGCATATCAGATTTATAAAAGTAAAACCAGCAGAAACCACTGTCAAGTGGATATATACACATTTCAAGCAAGAAACAAAGAATTGAACATAAATAAGTTCTTGTATCATTCTATATGAACAAAAGGAAAATGAATAACCTTTACTATTATGTTAAAGCAAAAGATGACAATGTGAATTCACCTCGTTAGCAGCCAAAATACTATGCAAATGAAATTTAGTTAAGATCATTCCAGAAATTAGAGCATGCATTTACCTCTTTATAAGCTGATGCTTGGCAAAGTTGCACCGCAAGATATGGTAGCTAGCTCAACTGAGAGAGAATAGTCTGAAAGAGAAATTGAAAAATAAAATATGACAGATCGATGTTATGCAGGTTTTTGAAGTTTCTATAGTACTAGCAAACGAATATCTTTGATACCTTTCTCCCGGCCTTCCTAAGAAAAGAATATTATAACAAAAGCGCAAAGCTTCTAAGACAAGATGCAAATTTCTACAGTTTCTTCTCTCACTGTATGAAAATACCAATTCCAAGTAAAGAAGTAAATCATATCTTCTTTAAAAAGAGGAACAGGTCTAATTGTTCTTTTGCTAGGACAGCACCTGTGCGGAAAACATAATTCTCTTCTCTTTATCAATTTTTAATCCCTTAATGTTTTTTATTCGATGTTATGTTCCTCCTCTTTTGTTCTTCTTCGCTTCTTCTACAGGCAACCTAAGAACTATGAAGTAATGCCAAACTTGATATGCCGTATCGTATTGTTAGCAGTCGGTTGCACCTGAGAACTAAACTAATGGAAAACTAGAAATAGATCGGTATCTGGTAGCTGAACTAGCTAGGTGATGTGAATCTTTAGGTACTGTTTCTTTGAGTTATATTCATGGGAAAAATCTTTTGAGTTATATTCATGGGAAAAAATGCTGTGGTGGATTTTGTAGTAAACATTAATTATAACTCCCTCAAAGTCGACCTAAATAGATTAAAAATATTACTTCACATTATAAGCACAATAAACACAAGATATTAAACCTTAAACCTCTTGTCCTTAATTATTGTCTAAATTATTGATATACACTACGGAAGCCCATTAAATTTAATAAATTAGGTCCAACCATTGAATAAAACTAAGAATAAAATTTTCCAAAATAAAATTAACCAAAAATAATAAATTTATAAAAATTAATAGATCGAAAATATATACTCTTTAAACTAATATATAGATATAATTAACCAAAAATTTGGCTAAAACTTAGTTTTAATTCTTTAATAAAATACTTTACGTCAAATTAAACTAATTTGTCTCTTTAATTTTTCTCAAATATATTTATAAAAACTCAGACTTAATCATAAAATGAAATAATCATCTTAAACCAATTTAATTATATTTTATCCCTATTATTTTTCCTTAAAATCTGAATTAATAGCAAAATAATTAATTTAATTGGAAAATAATCAAATTGCCTTTACTTAATTAATCACCAATTAAATTATTTTACATCTTAAAATTTTATTTACTCCAATTTAATAAAATTCCTTTATATTAGAAAATTAACTCAATTAAAACTCAGTTTAGACTTTGAGCCAAATCAAATTAATTAATTTCTAACAATATCATCACCATTAGAAGAGTACTCAGGCAAGATAGAATTTGATTGCCCATAATTTGAATTCAAATATATACAACCATCATTGTTCTCCTTAATTTCCGTAAACAATAAATTGGACTCCTTGAATTCATTCGTAACAGCCACATTGAAACTTTCTTCCATTCTATCTACAACATCTATTAGAATGATATTTTCATCACCTAGTACAACCACATTAAAACAAGTAACAGTACATTGTAATTGAAAAGAGCTGGTCATTATCAAATATCTAAGCTTTACATGTTGCTTATTACTTTTTTGTTTGTTGATCGTCATCAGTTGGTTCTGTTTGTTGACAATTCATGGAGAGCCGTCAGCTCAGAATAGAGAAGCCAGAAATGAGTGAGAAACTCTCCACCTTGTCTGAGCTGTTGTGCATGCTGACTTCCTGTGCATTGTCTTCCAGCATAGACTAGAAATTCCATCCACAGTCCAGCAATTACATCCCATTTTCTCTTCATATGCTGTCAACATGCGATGAAGGTATAAATTAATTACTATAAAAAGAAAGAGAGAGAGAGAGAGAAAAGAGAAACTAACAAACAAACTGATAGGCGTCACCTGTTCTACATGCTCATCCGGTTTGCGCTCGCAGCTGAGAATGTTAGCAACTTTACACCCCAAGGATAAAAGAGATCGAGTCAATTGTTTTGGGATTTGATCTGGATTGGTAATTGGATTTCCTCGCGTCTCAAACACCCCTTTGGAGGCCTGAATTATAATCTTCCTTTTTCTTTCTTTTGTGGTACCGACTTGATCTAATTCTGGCTTGAAAGATTCTAATGCTTTCCTGGCCTCATCACAAGTGACTTGAAAGTTTTTCTGACCAGTGGCCCCACTTTCTAGTAACTTGTCAGGAAAAACGGCAAGGAGATGCATCATATATCTCGAGATGAGCTTGCTCATTTTACGGTTTAATGTAACAACATCATATTCTGTAGAGCCGCGTTTTTTTCTTCTTTCTTTTGGGAAAAATGGTCGTGATCTCGGTGATAGCAGAGTTCTGTAGCAATGTGCCAAACAAGGATGGTTTGCTGAAACTCTATGGCAGAAGTTAACGTGTCAATTATACGGTGATCAACAGGACTCAGGCGCAGACCTCGCAACGTTATAAATCCTCTAATACTATTGATTGAAATGGTGGGTACATTGCCCTTTATCGCTTCTTCGGAGCGATCCCAAAAAATCTTGGCCTGCATGACTAAATTTTCTTTCAAATCCTCCGAGACTTGGCGAGAAGCTGCATGCCGTCGTCTTGCTAGCTTTTCATAGACTTTTAAGAACTTCTGTATTCCATGGAAATCAATGGGTTTTTCATTGAGGACGTGGCTAAGAAAACTGCATTGACCCATGGAATTCGACCATCTAGGGTTTCTAAGAAGTGGGTGAGAAGTAATGGCTAGTGAGATGTTACTACAGTTATGTTTTCTTAACCAGACAACAGTATGGTCAGACAATAGCAATACAAGGGTCGCATAAAGCTCTAAAAGAATGGCCACAGCAAGAATTAAGAAAGTTATGTAAAGATCCACCTTTGAGTACGTTTGTGTGTTGTTAGGTTCCAAAGAAAATAACACCAGCACAATGCTGGTGAGAAGAAAACTGATGAATCGCAAGCCAACGCCACAGGGGGTGTAGGTCACGAGTGCCTTTGTATAGAGCATGTCATACATAAATCCAAGCTGCATTTCAATTACCTTAAAAGCATCTTTAGGAGTTTGCAGAAGGGTTGTGATAGCAGCTTCTTGGTGGTTGGCCAAAGCAGACTGTTCTGTTGTAGTTATTGGAACACCTGCAAAGAGAAGCTTCGCCTTGTCGAACATTCCATGGGCGAGTTGAAGTAATTTGTCATCCGAAATATTAGAATAATCTCCATCATCAGTCTGAGCTTGCAACTTATTATGAAAACGGGACGTTGATACACTATGATGCTCACGGTTTGCAGACCACATAACCCATGTTCTTTCTCCATACTTGATGAGCCCTGCCAACATTATTGGAATTGTTAGAAATGAAAGAAGGGACCCTGTCCACCCTGCAAAGAGGATGTAAAATGCAAGTCCTGTCTGGCCAACCAATTGAAGCAAGTGCCTCGACCATAATTGGTTGTCCTCCAAAGAATAGGCCGTGATTGTGTCAGGCCCACCCAAGTGCAATAGGAGAAATGGTGCCCAAAATGCTGTCAGCTCCAGTTTCGCATCCAGAGGTCCAGAATGATAAGCGAATCGATTTGTGAGGAGACCAAGTGCACTAGTTGCTATGTAATCTGCCATTAAGTAAGCAGGCCATACAACAATTGTGATCCAAATTTTGTTAATATACTTCCGACGATTGCCGAGAAGGATGAGTATTATTTGGAGTGTGAGGCTAAGCAAAACCAATGTCTCCAGCTGCCATTCATTCCACAGTTTCTTCAAACCTGGAGATTCGTCCATCTTTATCGACCTATATATATTCATTCATACAATCAAATTACAAACAACAGAAACAAAACTGCAACAGCAGATTCGAAAAAGTTAAAGCTGAACATTTACACCAGCTAAAAGAAAACCAGCAGAAACCAATGTCAGGTAGATATATATACATTTTAAGTCAAGAACCAAAGAATAGAAAGATAGTTACTATATTAGTCTATACGAACAAAAAAAATGAATAACCTTCATTAATATTATACTAAAACAAAAGTTGATAGAACAAAATTAGCATGCGAATGAATTTTTGTTAAGATGTACGTACCTCTTTACAAACTGACGCTTGTTAAAGTTCTGCCACCAACTATGATAGCTTAGCTAAGAGAGAATAGTCTGAAGGAGAAATTAAGAGAATAAAATCTGAGTGATTGATGTTATGCAGGTTATTGAAGTTGATATAGTACTGGCAAATGAATATCTTTGATACCCTTCTCCCTCACCGGGAAAAGAATTTAAGAAAAAATGCAAGGCTTCTAAGACAAGAACACAAAATCTACCTTTTCTTTTCTCTCACTGTACGGAAATAAATTGCAAGCAAAGAAGCAAACTAGATGTACTTTAAACAAAGGCAAAAGATCTAATTATTCTTTGCTAGGACAGCACCTGTGTGGAAACACATAAATTCATTTCTCTTTTTCTTTTTGGTCGATGTTAGGTTCCTCCTCCTTTATTCTTCTTCCCTTCTTCTCCAGGCAACCTGAGGGTTGTGAGTTGGTACCAAACTAGTTATTCCATACAGTAAAAGAAAAAAGGAGAAGAAAGGAAACATGGGATTCTTTTCTTGTGAAGGGACAAGTTATAACTTATAGATTTTCGATGGATTGCCATTAGTCCTATAAGGATGTATTATCTATTATTTAATAAAATGTTTATACTTCATGTTTGAGTTTAGATATATCTTATTAATATATTTTATTTTGATGGATAAAAAGAAAGAGAATTATTTTTTAAAAATCAAATTAGAAAAATGTGCTAAATCAATTTATATTAGAAGACTATTTAATTTTAGTTAATGGATCTATAAAAAAATCACAATATAACCATTAACTATTGAAAAAAAAACATATTGAATAAATAATAAATTATGAAAAAAATAAAAGCATAATATACATACATACATATATATATATTGCCACATATCTAGCTTTAACTATTCTTGCCAACAGACATAGATGGTCTCATTCTTTGTCTATTTCTCTCCTCTTTCCTCTTTATTCTTGTATATGCTTATTTAGATTGATTAATTATAAAGTTGCATGAAGAATAATTATTTTATGCAACAACGATTATTTTTATACTAATTTTTAAAAAATAAAAGGTCAAAATAATAGAAAATAATCATTATTTTTTTTAGATTGTATGAAAAATTAAAAATAACCATCAATTAGTTGGAAAATTTTGAAATTGAGTAAATAATAAAATAGTAATATATAATGAAATATTATTTAAAAAATAAGAAGAAGAAGAAGCAAAATTTGGCTGGATCGATGCACATTAGTTCTGTTCGCATGGGCCAGATGGCAACCAGACACGAGTGTCTGGGCTGGAAGCGTCCATTCAGATGATTTTCTACTCAATTAGGAAAATTCACATTTCTTGAATTGGCTACAGTATCGGTATGGTCAGAAACTATGTCTACTTAGGTGAATGGTGTGCATTGACATCAACGGGGAGCTAGCCTTTGTTAAACTTGAGATTACTGCTAGTTTTTATCTTTGGTTCCTTTTTAGAAGAATATTGGGTGATCATCATTAGCCGTAATTACTAGTTGGTGGGTAAAATATTCGTCCATAAAAACTTTTTTCGTTCTATTTTTCCATATGAATGAATAGTTTGGAATTGTACTCCGTGCGCTTCTCAATTAATTTTTCCTAATTTGTAGAAAAAAAATTTCAGCTTTTTGTGTAGAAATTTGGATGACTTAGGTGATGTTTGATAAAATTAAAAATTAAATGTTGAATCTGTTAAGTACTTAATACGTTACTAACAAACTGTTTAATATTTACTGAAAATTAAATGTTGAATATAATAAAATTGTTTGATAAGTACTTGTTGATAAACATATTAATGTTATGTGCATGACGATTTTAACTTTATAATTATAACATGATATTTTGTTAACACAAAGAAAATATATATGTGTGTGTTTGTTTGTTTATGTAAATAAATAAAAATTCGATAAAAATGATTATTAATAAAAAGAATTCATAAGTTTGGCACTTGGTCTAGGAATGAATTGAGAAAACCAAGATAATACACATCTGCCATAGCATTTTAGGCTGACCTATTTATTACTTAAATGCACTATCCAATGAGATGTCAGTTTTCGATCTAAAATTATCACCTCTAGACACACCTGATTACTTATCAAATTGCAAGCAAAGTTTTTTTTCACTTACGCCTTTGCCCAAGTACGAATGGGCCATTAAATTCAACCTAATGTGTAATGTACCTAGAAACAGAGCATACATAGTAAGGAAATAAGAATTTCGGGCCATGCACATTTCCCTTTTGCATCAAATACAAGAAATCAATGGTTTAAGGTATCTATGTAAAAACTCCTTCTTTCACACACTAATACCTTTTATGATCTTTGAAAATGTGTCTAGATTGTCTGAAATATAAGGTATCTAAGTAAAAACGGAGAGATATTTTCTTGAGGAATGGCGGCCAAATATATTTGTTCAGACTGAAAAATGTCAGGGCTACAAATTTCTCAGATTGTCTGAAATGAGGAACCAACAGAACATCTCGTGAGGTTATTTCGTTCACCAGCCTAGCCAAAGTGGGGTATGCAAATTACAATACCAAGAAAGATGGTAGTGCAAAAAGAACTGTCACTAATTAGTAAAGAAGTAAGACGACAGCACTGATAGGTAGTGCAAAAAGAACCATCAGTAGAAATATGATGACCAGTGGGAACTTTGTCGTGAAGTCAAGAAAACAATCCAGAGATTTATGAAGAGAAGACTGATTGCTCTCTCCTTTGCTGCTAACACCATCTCCATTAAAGCCCAACTGACTCTGCCCCTGACTACCAATTTCTAGGTGCTTTGATATAGTTACTAATGGTTGAAGAATTATGGGAAGCATGATTTGGCTGAGCGGATAGAGCAGTTAGAAGTGTCTCGCCGTGGTGTTTGAATTTGACAGGTGCAAGATATGAACAATGTCTTCTTTAAATATGAATATCAATAGTACCAAACAGCATTGGACTGAAGGCTGATATGATTGCTGCTGGGATTGGGATTGAAATTGAAAACCTGGGATAAAATTGCAAAGGTATATGTATGTATTTTATTCAATAATGCACATCTAAACTGTTTCGATAATGAAAATAGTAGAAATCATTTCTCAATCAATTGTTGTTATAAGAATATATGAGAGCTATATAGTTATTTTTTAAAAAGTCTTAAAAATCTTTCAAATGAGCATGTTAATAAAAAAGTTTTAAATTAAAAATAGATTTTGACTGAATTTAAATTTTAAATATGAGATTATTTAGATTATCAAACAAACTTTTTATATTAATTATAATAACTTAATTTTTTAAGCTATTTAAATAGTTTATCAAATTAACACCCCTTTAGTAGCAGTTTCAAGCTAGATTGTGCCTTGAGTAATCAAGTGTCAGAGTTGCTAAGATTCGGGAGATTTTCTCTGACCTCGGAATGCTCCAAATCATAACTTTAACCTATAAAAATATCAACTAACTTGGTGAAAATCTAGAAGCTATAAGTAATTTGTTAGTCATACAATGAACAATTTTTTTCTTTTATGAAAATGGATTAGATTAACTAGAAAGCCATCTAGTTGATGGCAATTAAGGAATACATATCAAAAAGAAAAGGACTAAAATCAAATAAGATATCCTTTATGCATATCCACTTTTTTCTTAGATAAATTATATGCAAATGTATTACTTCTCAGTTAATTCTACTAAAACTAATTGACCCCAGACTGTGGATACAAAAATCTATATTCATAAAAACATTATGTATTCTCTATGGTCTTACATTTGCATCTTGATGAACGCAAGGCACTACATTTACTGAGTCGGATTTTATAATGCAGTTCACCTTCTGAGAAAGATGATGAGAAGAAATTATCTCAAAAGCTTTATTAATTGCAAGAACCTCAGCTTTATTTGAATCCTTAATGTCAATTGGAAATGAGAAGACATACAAGAACTTTCCTTCATGTTCTTTGAGCATCCCCACCAATACTAAAATTACCAGATTTTTTCAAAGAATAACCATTCACATTCCATTTTAAAAACCCAATTCTTGGCTTTTACTATGTAGTTGGCTGGTGATTAGTGCATTGATTAGTTCATATTAAAATCCTTTTGAGCTTTTAACTTAATCATTTCTAGAGCAAGCAAAGTGATCATCACGAAATCTTACTCATCAAGCAACTTTTTGAAAAATTAAACAGAATGTGTAGTCCTAGTAAGGAGTGACATTATTAAACGCAAGATCATTTCTAACCAACCAGATAGACCATAAAACTAAATAAAAAAAACTAAAAACCACAATTTTTTTTAATGCATTTAACCACTATTATCAATTTTGAAAAAGACTATTTACTGAACACCACATAAACCACAAACAACTCCATTATTTCATAATATGCGACCATAAAAACTTGACCGCATGATAGTGAAGCAGCAAATGAGATACTGTCTCTAGGAAAATTGCAAAACAAACACGGGCTACCATCATCATTAACAACTAGTGGCTTCACTAAACAAAATAGAATCTGGCATGGTCGAGCAAGACTTCTCTGAATAAATGCCTTTATTGTCTGGAGTCCATATATATCGATCTTGTTGCTCTGATTGTAGCTTGATATTTGAAATATACAAAAGCAAATAATTCTCAAAGCTTTTCTCCCAAAACCATAGCTCTTGTCTCCAAACCAAATTGCAAAGCCAATCTGTCCATATATACCGATCTTGTTGCTCTAATTCTAGCTTGATATTTGAAATATACACAAGACCATAGCTCTCGCCTCCAAACCAACTTCCAAAGCCAATCTGAACTACAATGAACAATTATAGTGAAACCTCTTGGAAATATGGTTTTTCAGATCGTCGATTGTTTTTTCACAACGAAATTTGATTCACTGCTATGTGTCAAATACACCATCTCTCTTGTTTTGTCTGTGGATGAAAAAAATCACAATTTCTTTACTTGTACTTTTTTCTTTCTTGACAAGCTTTGATTTGAATTCTTGTTCATATATATTTTTTAAAAAAAAAATTAATTATACAGTACCCTTTTGAAACCTTGTTGTCAATGGCTCACCTCTTATCTCCTTATAGGTGGAATCCTGATATTTGACTGTTTCATCATTTTCTTGATTAAATTCTCATAGAAGTGACTACAAATATCTCAACGTTTTCTTTTGTTTGTCTTTGTTTTTGTAAACTTTTTGTTTAACATAAAGAAGCAATTAAAGCATAGAAAGCTTGCTCTAGTTTCATGATGCCACTGCCAAAAAGGAACGTAATGAGCTATTTTTCCTCTTATCTAAGGAAGTATTAAGCATGCAGTGCATGTTAAGCAATGGAAACTGATGTGGATATGGCTTACGGTTTAACATTCTATGCAAAGTCAACACAACGATCTCGTTAGTTGGTTAGCAAACGAGAGTTAAGGGGGTAGCACTCTTTGTAGAGACTTGGGGGCAGAGCCCCCAAAAGGTCCACAATATATTGACCAAGTGTATTGAGCTAGACGTATAGGCTCATTAGAGTTTTAATAATCCTAGTTGTATATACTATAAATAGAAATGATATCTCTTATATATATAACAGCAATTGAAAAGTTCTAATAAGAACTCTTAAAGCGATCGTAAAATAGATACAATTTGTCGAATCATGCAAATCTTATATATATTGTGTAATTGTTTCGTGTTTTTATTTTTATTTTTTTTATCTTCTTACTTGATTTGTTTCCTAAAAGCGCAAATGGTATAAAAAAATTAACTATTAAACATCAATGGTGAGATCAGAATATGACTAGTTATGTTACTTTTTTAGATTATTCAAAAAAGTAATTCAATTTTTTATTTTTTATTTTATTTTGTTGTGGTGCCACCAACAATAAGAGAAAACTGAAGCAAAAAGGAAAAAAAATGATGCTTTGACAAGAAAAATCCCTCTTAGGGAAATAAAATGATTAGAACAATACTGCATATAATAAAAAGAAACAATCAATTACAACAACCACTGTTTACTTCTTAGTATCAATTTAGGGTACAAAATGAGGATTAAATGAGTAGATAAACTAAGTATGAGTTGGGTATGAGTTTAGAGAATAATTAATTAAGAGCATCAACGATAATTTTTTTTTTTTTTTTATGGATATGATATGGAATTGAATTAATGGGTTGAGTATCCTGTCTCTTGTCATCCCTACTCTTGCCTCAATTTAAAGTATAGTATTTGCTTCTTTACTTGCGATGATTCTTACCATATAGTTAAAGCAAAACGAAGAATGGTTCAATTCTTTTCTTGAAGGTAAGAAAGTAAGTGCATTAGCATTATAAATACTCTTTTTGCCAGCACTAACTTCTATAATATTAAGTAATCAAGTCATCAATGACACTTTATTTATAACATGTAGAGAGTTAATTGCATAAAATTTATAAAATAAGAACCAAAGTAATTTTTATAAAAACTTGAAGGATCAAAAAATTATTAGATGAATGAACAAAATAACTTTTTAAAAATTACAATGACTAAAGTGAAATATTTTGACAAATTATTTTTAACATATAGAAAACAGGTATTAAATAGGTGGGAAACCGTGCATTGATTGGTTGTGAGTTTAAAGTGTAATTTCTTAATGAATGTGTATAAACTATTTTTTTTTAATGGATAAGATTAGAGATTGAATTAATGGGTTAGGTACTCGATCTATTGTCATTTATATTCTTTTCCCGATATAAAGTATAGAATTTGCTTTACCTGCAGGATGATTCTTACCATTATGGTTAAAGCAAAAAAAAAAAAAAAAAAGTTTGATTCTTTTCTTGAAGAGAAGAGCATTACAAATATTCTCTTTATCAGCCTAAACTCTATAAAATGTAACTAAATCATCCACTAGGTTTTATTTTTTAATTGTTCTTCCATGTTATTCTCTATAAATTAAGCTGTATATATGTCATATAGTTCCCAGTAGAATTTGACTCCAAGCCTTAAAAGAGGTAACTGAATTATCTTGTGACTAGTGTTTTTTTAATATGGATTATGCAACAATATTAACTTATTTTATTTTCTCTTGAATATTTAAAAGTATATCTATTTGACTTTGGCTTTTTGCTGGGATAATTATTTTATAATACTCTAATATAGTGGTGTAATTTGTTTTAAGTACCTTTTTTTTTTTTTTTTCTGTACATGATATTGCAAATTTATCTCAGTTGTTAGTTCTTTAATTGTTTCATGATTCAGGACGATACTTATGGAGGTGCTTTCTCCAAGCTTAAAGAACCTGTGGAACGAATGGCAGCTGCGGGCATTAGTTTTACTTAGCCTCACGCTCCAAATAATTCTTATCCTTCTGGGCAATCGTCGAAAGTATATTCACAAAATTTGGATCAAAATTATAGTATGGCCTGCTTACTTAACGGCAGACTCTGTGGCAACCGGTGCACTCGGTGTCCTCGTGAGTAACTTGTTCAGTCATTCTGGAACTCTTGATCCAAACCTCCAGCTGCAAGCGTTTTGGGCACCATTTCTCCTACTGCACTTGGGTGGGCCTGACACGATCACTGCCTATTCTTTCGAGGACAACGAGTTATGGTCAAGGCACTTCCTTCAGTTGATCGTCCAGACAGGAGTTGCATTTTACATCCTTCTCATGGCGTGGACGGGGTCCCACATTTCAATTCTAACAATGCCAATGATTTTGGCAGGGCTTATCAAGTATGGAGAAAGAACATGGGTCCTTTGGTCTGCAAGCAGCTCTGAGCGACGTAGATCATTGAAACCTGTCTCTCAAAACATGGTGCAACCTTCGTCTGATGGTGAAGGTGATAAATTGCTTCTTGCCTATAGGATGTTTGATATGGCCAAGCATCTCTTTGCAGGTCGTCCAATACCTGCAACAAAAAAGTCTGCTACGGCTAACCACCAAAAGTTGAGCTTTAATGTTTCGGAGAAAATATCCCCCAAAAGCGCTTTTGAAGTAATTGAAATGCAGCTTGGATTTATGTACGATTTGCTCTACACCAAGGCATTGGTGACCTACACTCCCTGTGGCGTTGCTCTACGGTTCACCAGTTTTCTTCTCACCATCATTGTGCTGGTGTTATTTTATTTGGCACCTCACAACACACAAAGGTACTCAAAGCTTGATCTTTGCATAACTTTCCTATTGCTAGCTGTGGCCATTCTCTTAGAGCTTTATGCGGCACTTTTATTGTTATTGTCAGACCACACTGTTGTCTGGTTGAGAAAACATAACAGAAATAACATCTCCCAAGCCATTACTTCTCTCTCACTACCTAGAAATCCTAGATGGTCAAATTCCATGGGTCAATTCAGTTTCCTAAGCTACTTCCTAAATGAAAAACCCATGGATTTCGATGGAATCCTAGTGCTCTTAAAAATAAACGAAAAGCTAGAGAAACAACGATATGTAGCTTATCGTCAGGTCCTGGAGGATTTGAAAACATGGTTAATCACACATTCTCGGAAATATAGGGAGCGTCTGGAAGAGTTTTCATCAGAAATTGGCGAGGCCTTTTCAAAGAATTTTGTAGCTTCAATAACATTGGGTTATTATGGTCTTGATCTGAGCATTCTGTCTTCCATGACTAAGATTGATTTTCAGCAAGCAATCCTCGTTTGGCACATTGCTACAGAACTCTTGTATAACCTAGATGACCACTACTTCACCCAAAAAAATCAAGAAACCAAATGCAGTATTGCTGAAATTTTGCAAGGCATGGCTAAGAATACGGTTGCATTAAACCGTAAAATGAGCAAACACATCTCCAGATATATGATGTATCTCCTCGCGATATCTCCTCACACGTTACCAGGAAGTGAGGCAACTGGTCTGACAACCTTTCAACAGACTTATAATGAGGCCAGGAAAAGATTAGCAGAATCTTTCAAACCAGAATTGGAAAGACTCAGAATTGAAAAAGAAAGAAAACGGAAGATTAAAATCCTGGCCTCCAAATGGTTGTTGGAGCAAGACATGGATTTAATTAGTTTGGATGATGTCAAAAATGGCCAATTGAATGGTTCTCTTTTAGCATACGGGTGTGCAGTCGCTAACACTCTCGTGGACGGCAAACCGGGTGGAGTAGAGGTCTGTTTTTTGTTTTCTCTTCTCTCCCTTTTTTTTTTTTTAATAATTTATCCTTAGTCACATATTTTTCAAAATCTCATGGAGGAAGTGAAAGAAGATATAGGTGATCACTTATCTACTCTTACTTTTGATGATTTATCCTTAATCACATATTTCTGGACAGAGAGAAGCAAATGGACGGAGAATAGTACAAGAATATCTCATGAAGCCAGTGGACCAAATTACCGAGGTGATCACTTATGTACTTTTGCTTTCAATCATATGAGGTTGATTTGTGCTTTCTTTTGTTGATTTTTTAGCTTCAAACTTTAATTAAGATCGGCACTTAGAAGAATTTATTAAATTTGTCAATGTGATCATCCTTATCGTTGAATTAAAAAAAAAGTTACACATGCTTTTACTTGTATTATTTTACTATTTTCTCTATTTATTTTTTTGTTAGTAATTTCTTCTTTTATCACATATTTTTTAACAGCTAATGGATAGAAATTGGGAAGTTTTGGCCGGAGTATGGGTGGAGTTACTGATCCAGGCTGGAAAAGAATGCAAAAGAAGTCAGCACGCCCAACAGCTGAGACAAGGAGGAGAGTTTCTGACTCATTTCTGGCTTCTCTTTTCTGAATTAGAATATCTCGAAAAACTAATCACCAAACCAACAGAAGAATCACCATCTGTAGAATCAACAACACTACGATCACCAACTGAATATAATGTTTAAGAAACAGAAATATTTTGTTATTAGTATGCTTTAATTGTACTGTAAAATTTTGATAGCTATAGTGTTGGACATAGCTTGAATTTATGGACCAATAATATATTTAGCTTATTAGGTCCTTTCCTTTATAGGTATAAGGTATTTAAACCTATTTATATCTCTCGTTTATGAAATAGAGTGAAAGACAAAGACTTTGTATTGAGCCTCCGGAGTTCTTGTATTCTCATGCTATCAAGCTAATAAAAACTTCATTCTCGACTCGTGGAGTAGTCAATTTTGCCGAACTATGTAAATCTTGTATCTTGATAATTTATTTAGCTTTTTATTATTGTCCGTCATTACTTATCTTGTTTCGTTGTTTGTTATTATAACTAGTATCGGAGCGCAGAGTTACGTATATTTGGGCTTTCTATTCGTAATGACAACTTTGAAATTTGATCTTATGCCTTTTGATGGTCAAAATAATTTTGGCCTAATGGAGGATAAAGATGAAAGCTTTGTTGCGACGTGACATGAAGAAATCTCTTACAACAAAATTATATTTGAAGACATTAATACACTAAAGATATAAGAAGGTACGTCTATTCAAGAACACTTTGATGAATTCAATAAGATTGTTATGGATATGAAAAATCTTGATATTAAACTTGATGATGAAGATTAAACTCTTATTGTATTGTGCTTATTACTCGCTTCGCATGAGAATTTTGTTAATTCAATGTTATATGGTAGAGAGTCCATAACTTTAGAGGATGTTAAGGCCTTTTTGAATTCTACCGAGTTGAGACGTAAGTTGAATGGTAAAATCGTTGATAGTTAGACTGATGGTTTGCTAGTAATGGGAAGACAGAAAGGATATAGAGGTTTATAAAAGAAGAATCAAATTCTGTTCTAAGTCTAGATCACTCCTAAATAAAAAGAGCAATATTGAGTGCTACTACTATCATAAGAAAGGACATTACAAATTAAATTATCCTTCTCTAAAAAAGAAGGAGAAACCACAAGGTCAAATTTTTTAGTCTACTAATGTGGCAAAGGCTACCGATATTGATGTCGCCGAAAATGTTCTTACCGTATGTCTTCTAGATGGTTGTGCTCGATCAAGAGTAGATTTTGGATACAAGTGCTTCTTATCATATATGTCCAAATAAAGAGTTGTTTGTCACTTATAAACCTATAAGTGAGGCTATGTTCTAATGGACAAGAATTCAGCTTGTGAGATGACCGATATTGGTACAATTCACATATAACACACCCAACTTAGGATCTCGTAGGTTAAGAATATTATCGTTGTTAACTTACATTTGAGGTGCAATGAATGCAAGCTAACAAGGTACTATGTCTTTCCTATGATATTACTAGGTATGGACTACACTCGCGAAAACCTATAAATAATGGATAAGTCCTATAATTTAGTCCAAAATGCACTATAAATTTTTTGTGTTTTATCATTTTATTTAGGTTGCTTGGACTAAACGAACTAGATCTATGACATTCAATTTTTCCAAATTCCTTTATGTTAGTCTATAGAAATTTATTTATTAATCACCCATTATTAGATACTAATCTCCTTTATTCACCTTAATTACCATTTATTATTATTATTTTGCTTATTAATTTAGTTATCATATTTTAGTAATTGCATTAACAAATAAACTGCTAACTAAAAGAAACTATGCTAACCATAATAAAAAAAAAATTTCAGTAATACTATTTTGTTTTAAGTTTAGGTTACATACTAACTATGTCTATTTACATACAAAATAACTTAATGCCATATAACACAAAAATGACTTATTTACTTATTTACATCACATTCTCATCTATTGTTCTACTTGTTCATAGCTTTAACTATTACATAAAATAAATACCAAACCCGGTACATAAACTATAACACCAAGCACTAAGAAAATGGTTACTTAAAGGAGGTCCACTTTACTCGTTGAAGCCACATTCAAAATACACATGACTCGCGGATCCCTCGGTAATCGACTTAGCGGTGAACATTATCATTATTACCCGTAATGTCCGCACCACAGAAGCTAGGTGAGCAACAACTCAATAAATTACTCTATGCGTGATGTAAATATATGCAAGTGAAATGGACAATGAAAATCATTTTTATGTCTTTTCAAAAACCCTTCTCATGATCATTCTAAAAACCCTTTCTTTCATGCTTGAACACACCCTATCGAGTATTTGAAGGTACATATTTGTACCCACTCGGCCATCTTCCCCGTGCAATTATCCTGTAGGGCCATCACCAATTCCCTTACAATTGAAGCTAATATAAATTCCCTCACAAGAAATGCCATCTCCTTCTATTGGGGCTTGCCCTAAGTGAAGATTTTCTTTAGCCTTAGCCATTGCCGACTTGCTGGCAAAGGAAATGCCGGGGACCATGAAAATCATGTATCATATAATCCATAAAAGGTTATGAAATATCGTGTGAACCATGAAACATTTTCCCAATGCTTTTGGAAAACCATAAAGGAAATCTTTTCATAACTTTGAATCCTTTTCATGAATTGGTATGCATATACATTTTATTAAAAATCTATATCCATTATAATTTCATGACATGCATGCCATGAGTGAGATGCATTTATGCCATGATAATGCGTAATTTAATGACATAAAATGCACCATATACATTACCTCATTAAAACTATTCCAAATAATGGCACCATGACACAATATAAAACAATGCATTTTCATAACCATCAACATTACAAGTTCCACACATCATGCACACATTAAACACATCAAATGGCATCCGAGGGACCAAATTATAATTGAATTACACAAATCAAAACATAAACCTTAAAAATTCTATCCTAGGCCAAATATTAACCATAACCTAACCCAAACATTTCTCCTAATTTCAACACCAATTTCCACAATTTCATTCAATTATGCACTAATATTAAGAGCTAACTTAATTGGGCATTCATTGATTGAATACATATATTAACCCTAAATTGGGCCTTAATAGACCAAAACCGTTAGGCAAATTAAGTTAATTTTCAACTTCAATGTAATTTTTCATTATAATTCATCTCATTACATTATTTTAAGTCTAAATTAATCAATTGAATCATTAGAAGTCAAATGTACCTAAACCCTAATTTTTCTCCAAAAGGTCGAATATGGGCCTAATTAATTTAGGTGTAATACTTTAATTTTTATGAAATTTCTCATTTTCATTCATCAATTCATACTTAACCAAATAATTCATTAAATAAGAAAAGGAATCAAAACCACGAAATTGGACATTTTCGATCGAATGCTTCCCTAAGGAATTCCATGAAAATTTCTTCAATTTTAATGCAATTTCTCACATTCAATCATCAATTCACACCTAATTAACACATAATCAAGTGATAAATCATCAAACCAAGTAAAGCATAAAAAACCCTAAACTTCAAGAATTGGGCCGAAACTTGTCTCTCTCCTAACCCTAGTAAATTTTGATCTTTCTTCCTTAATTTTAAGCCCAATTAACCTATTTTGAACTCAATTGCATGAATTTCTAGATTAAACTCATTTTCTCCAAATTTTCCTAACTAAAGTCCTAACACTAATTTTTTAAAAAAAGGCAATTAAACATAAAATTAGGGAACCAAATCATCAATTAACATCAATTAAACACTCCTTGTGGTGTAGATGAGATTATCTTACCTAAAAAAGCTCCAATTAGTTCTTGAAACATGAAATTTCCTTCCTCCCTCTTTTCCACTAAATTTGACCCAAACTTCAATTTTTCCCTTTAATGATCCTTGCCCTTCCGGCTCGAATTACTTGTTTAAATAAGTAATTTGGAGTGTTTAAAGGTGATTTTAGTGAAATTTTTTGAGGTTGAATTCCTATGGAAATTTTGCAAGAATTTCCCTTGTGTTTTTCTATTTTTCCTTTATTTTTTTCCATTTTCTTACACCCATATTTATAGGCATAATTGGGTGGAATTTTGACTTAATCTCCACTCTTGATTTGGTGCAATCCTAGCCCTTAATCTCTCTTTAAATCATGGCCTTTCAATTGTTTTCATCTTGGCCATCCATTTAATCTTTAAATTTTTTCCCTTCATCTAACCACTCTCTTTAAATTTCTTCATTCATTTGTTCATGCATTAACTACATCCTAATTATTGAGCTGAAAGTGGTGGAAAAGGGTGGAGAAATTCCTTCCAAAAATTGCTTAATTTTGGTCCTTAAAGTTGCTAATCTTTTCTTTAATTACTCCTCCATAAGTTATTCGAGTTATTCAATTGATTACTTTAAGCCCTTCCTTTAAAGGTTTGTTAACAACTTTTGAATTCCTAAAGTTCATATATAATTTAAATCACACACTCAAGATTCCTAGTAGAACTAGTCTATTATGATTTGAATCTATGATTTCTTATTAGAAGAGACCAATATCACTAAGTTACAAGCTCTTTAGTCTCATGGTTGTTTTTTATCCAAAGGAAAGGTATGCATATATAGTACATGATCTTTCAAAATCGAATGATATGTTCTTATTGTGGTTAATAAATTTGGATGAATAGCTCATCAACGATACCTATTTGATTGTAATAGGTTCACACAGTAAAGGTAGATAGATTCATAAAAGACTTAACAATTATCACCGAGTATGTTGGAGATGATGATTACTTTAATAATCGAGAAAATGATGATGGGGATAGCATGATGACATTGCTTTATGTTGTTAATCCTTCACTAATCTTGGCAAGCGTGGGAATAGCTTGATTTATCAATGGTATAAATAATCACACACGAGTAAGTTCATCACTAACTTTAAACTTCATTTTCTACTAGCGAATAACTGCTTTATACCTTGAAAATAAAAGCCTCTAGCAAATCCATTGTATTAATTAGAAGTAGACATTACAAGGTTAAATTGTTAGTTAGGCTATAACATATGGATTCAATGTTGATGCATTCGATAGATATGGTTGTAACGTTTTGCATCTTTCTCGCTTGCCTGTAATGTGATCATCCCATTGTCGTCCCTAATCTTGCCTCAATTTAAAGTATAGTATTTGTTTCTTTACTTGCAATGGTTCTTATCATATACAAAAAGTGAAAAGAAAAGAAAACAAATGCATTAACATTATAGATATTCTTTTTGTCAACACTAAATTTTATAAAATTAACTAACTTAATCATCAACTAGGTTTTATTTTTGATAGACAAGGACTTGATTGCATATATAAATTGTATAAAGTATGGACCAAAAAACTTATAAGTAAATGACTAAATCTCTTAACATTTTCTTTTGCTTACTTTATTTTGGCTAACAAAAAAGTTTATGTTTTGTAAATTTATCATCTTAGTTTGAGAGGCATAAGCTTAAAATGCTAGTTTTAGGTCTACATTGACATTATCCAAATAGAAGAAATGTTTGCAAATCTTTTAGAAATTTCCTAAAGAAGTATTAATCTTATATGGCCATATCTCTATATATCAATCAAACTTTTAAATTTATAATTATATCTCATTCTCGATGCAATTACATGCCAACAATAAACATAGTCTCAAGTAAGTGATTCGTCCCTTCGAGATCGACCAAGTTTGCCTAGAAATGCAATGATAAAGAAAGCAAAAGGAACTTAAAAAGAAAAAAAAATGTTAGGAACTAGAGAAAAAAAAAAGAAAAGAAAAAAGGAGGGGGTGGTAAAGAATTGTGTATTTACAACTTGTAAAAGAAAACTTAGGCTTCTTACCTCAATTTGAAGTATAGTATTTGCTTCAGTTCTTACCATAGAGTAAAAGCAAAAATGAAAGAAAATTAGAGAATGGTTTAATTATTTTCTTGAAGAGAAGAAAGCAAGTGCATTAGCATTACAAATATTCTTTTTATCAACACTAAATTCTATAAAATTAAGCGACCAAATCATCAACTAAGTTTTATTTTCATAAAGAGATCCGATTGCATAAACTTTATAAAATAGAAACCAAAATGTTTTTTTATGAAAACTTTGATGACCAAAAATTTAAAAATAAGGGATCAAATTGTAAAAAAAAACTCTTAAGGGCTAAAATAAATTTTTTGAAAATTATAGCAACTAAATGAAATATTTTGATAAAATGTTTTAGGGGGATGAAATGGATATTAAATGGACGAGTAAATCACGTGTGTGTTTAAAGGATAATTTTTTAATAGGTATGGACATTGTATTTTTTAAATTGGTAAGATAAAAGATTAAATTAATTGATTAGATACTTTGTACATTGACATCCCTACTCTTCAATTTAAAGGATATTGTTTGCTTCTTTACTTGATTCTTACTATACACTTAAAATAAAATGAAAAAAGAAAATGAGGGAATGGTTTAATTCTTTTCTTGAGGAGAAGAAAGCAAGTGCATTAGCATTACAAATATTCTTTTTGTCAGCACTAAATTCTATAAAATTAAGTAACCAAACCATCAATCATATTTTATTTTTAACATATAGGGACTTGATTGCACAAACTTTATAAAATAGGAATCCAATTTTTTTATAAAAACTTTAAGGACCAGAAAACTTATAAATAAAGAAACAAATTCTAAAAAAAAAAAAAACTACTTTTATAGGCCAAAATAAATTTTTAAAAAAAATATAAGGACTAAAATAAAATATTTTTACCAATTTCAAAGAGTAGATTCTCAATGAATTAACTGCAACAATCTTTTAGCATATTCTTTTGCTTACTTTGTTTGCCCAACAAAGGAGTTTATGTTTTTTAAATTTACCATTTTAGCTTAAGAGGCACCAAATTTAGAATGCTAGTTTTAGCTTTACATGGATAGTGTCCAAAGAGATGAACTGTTTGCAAATTTTTTAAAACTTGTCTAAGAAAGTATTCTTGTATGGTCTTATCTTATATATCTATAAACTTCTATATTTATAGTTTTATTTCGTCCTTGATGCTATTACATGCCACTAATAAGCACATCACAAGCAGGGAATTCTTTCTTTCAAGATCAAGCAAGTTTGCCTAGGGATGAAGTGAAGAATAAAGCAAAAGAAACTTCAAAGGGACAAAAATGTTAAGTTGTGGAGATTGATGTGGATGGAGGCTTGTAGTATAAAATGTTATATAAATCTAGTACAATGGCATCGCTAATCGATTAGCAAGCGGGGGTCAAGGAGGCGAGTGTCCCTTGCGGGGCCTCGAGGACGGAACTCTCAAAAGGTCTATAAAATATTGAACCGGATATATAAGCTCGTTAGTCCTTATATATATATATATATATATATATAACTCAAATTGTCCACACTATAAATAGAGGCAACATTATTTATATTTGTAATCACCACTTGACAAAACCTAATAAGAAACCCTCGTACAATCGTGAAATAGGTATTATTGTCAAACCACGTAAAATCTTTGTGTTATATGATTGTTTTTCTCTCTACTATGATTGTTTTGCTCTCTACTTTATTCTTTGATTCGTTTTTTTCCCTTAAAAAAAAAAGAAAAAAAACTATAGGGAATAGAAAGAAAAAGGCACAAAGAATTGTGTATTCCACATGCTATCCTAACAAAAGAAAAATTAAGCCTCTTGCCTCGATTAGAAGTATAGTATTTTCTTCTTTACTTTTGATGGTTCTTAACATATGAAAAAGCAAAAAGAAAAAGGAAACAAAAAAAATGGTTTAATTCTTTTCTTGAAGAGAAAAAAGTAAGTGCTTTAGCATTACAATATTCTTTTTCCAGTACTAAATTCTATAAAATTAAGGACTAAATCATGGACCAGGCTTTATTTTTTAATTGCTCTTGCATATTTTTCTCTCTAAATTAAGCAGTATATCATAGTTCCTGGTGTGGAATTTGACTCCAATCCTTAAAAGAGGTAATTGAATTATTTTTACTAAATTTCATTTTGTATGCAAGTTTGGTAGCTATAAAAGTGTGTACGATAGAAATTATTTGTGAAGAACAATATCACCAAAATATGCATAATCATTCCTCACTTCATCTCTATATTGGTTAAATATATAATTGCACAACAAAAAGTTTGTTTATTTTTCTCTTGTTGGTATCTATTTGACATTGGCTTTCTGCTGGGATAATTATTTTATAAAACTCTAATATAGCGATGTCATTGGTTTCAAGTACTTTTTTTTTTTTTTTTTCTATCTGATATTGCAAATTTATCTCAGTTTTTAGTTAATTATTTCATGATTCAGGACGATACTGATGGAGGTGCTTTCTCCAAGCTTAAAGAACCTGTGGAACGAATGGCAGCTGCGGGCATTGGTTTTACTTAGCCTCACTCTCCAAATAATTCTTATCCTTCTGGGCAATCGTCGAAAGTATATTCACAAAAATTGGATCAAAATTATAGTGTGGCCTGCTTACTTAACGGCAGACTCTGTGGCAACCGGTGCACTCGGTGTCCTCGTGAGTAACTTGTTCAGTCATTCTGGAACTCTTGATCCAAACCTCCAGCTGCAAGCGTTTTGGGCACCATTTCTCCTGCTGCACTTGGGTGGGCCTGACACCATCACTGCCTATTCTTTCGAGGACAACGAGTTATGGTCGAGGCACTTGCTTCAGTTGATCGTCCAGACAGGAGTTGCATTTTACATCCTTCTCATGGCGTGGACAGGGTCCCATATTTCAATTCTAACAATGCCAATGATATTGGCGGGGCTTATCAAGTATGGAGAAAGAACATGGGCCCTGTGGAATGCAAGCAGCCCTAAGCAATGCAGAGCATTGAAGCCTAGCTCTGAAAAGATGGTGCAAGCTTTGTTAGATGGTGAAGATCATTCTGATGATCAATTACTTCAAGTCGCCGATGGGATGTTTGATGTAGCCAAGCATCTCTTTGCAGGTGTGCCAATACCTGCAATAGAACAGTCTTCTACGGCTAACCACCAGAAGTTCACCTTTAAATTTTTGGAGAAAATATCTCCTAAAAAAGCTTTTGAAGTAATTGAAATGCAGCTTGGATTTATGTATGATTTGCTCTACACCAAGGCACTGGTGACCTACACTCCCTCTGGCATTGCTTTGCGGTTCACTAGTTTTCTTCTCACCATCATTGTGTTGGTGTTCTTTTCTTTGGCACCTCACAACACACTAAGGTACTCAAAGCTCGACCTTCGCATAACTTTCCTATTGCTAGCTGTGGCCATTCTTTTAGAGCTTTATGCGGCACTTTTATTGTTATTCTCAGACCACACTGTTGTCTGGTTGAGAAAACATAACAGAAATAGCATCTCTCAAGCCACTTCTTCTCTTCCACTACCTAGAAATCCTAGATGGTCGAATTCCATGGGTCAATTCAGTTTGCTAAGCTACTCCCTCAATGAAAAACCTAAGCATTTCCATGAAATCCTAAAGCTCTTAAAAATTAACGAAAAGCTAGAAAAACAAGGACATGTTGCTTATCGTCAGGTCCCGGAGGAATTGAAAAAATGGTTAATCACACATTATCTGAAATATAGGGAGCGGTTGGAAGCAAATCCATTATACACAACTCAGAAGGCTGTTTTAGAGGACTGTGGAGGTTCTGTAACATTGGGACATTTGGGTTATGATCTTGAGGGCATTCTTTTCTCCATGACTAGGATAGATTTTCAGCAAGCAATCCTCATTTGGCACATTGCTACAGAACTCTTGTATCACCTAGATCGCGACTACTTCACCCAAAAAAATCAAGATACCAAATGCAGTAAGATGAGCAAACACATCTCCAGATATATGATGTATCTCCTGGCGATATCTCCCGACACGTTACCAGGAAGTGAGGCAATTGGTCTGACAAACTTTCAACACACTTATGGTGAGGCCAGGAAAGGATTAGTTGAATCTTTCAAACCAAAATTAGAAGGACTCGGCACCGAAAAGGAAAGAAAACGAAAGATTAAAATCCAGGCATCCAAATGGTTGTTGGAGCGACACAGAAATCTAATAAGCTTGGATGATATCAAAGATGGCCAATTGATTGGCTCTCTTTTATCATACGGGTGTGCAGTAGCTAACATTCTCATGGAGGACAAACCGGGTGGAAAAGAGGTCTGTTTTTTGTTTTCTATTCTCTCCCTCTTCTGTTAATAATTTATCCTTAATCACATATTTCTGGACAGAGAGACCCATTTGAACGGATAAGAGTAGCAAACCTCAAGGAGGAATCAGCAGAAGAGGTGATCACTTTATCTACTTATGTTGGCCTGCTGTTTAAACAATATCCTTCAGCATTGAATTTTTTGAAAAAGAAAAACTTATTTCCTTTCACTTTTATTATATTTTGTTAGTAATTTATTCTTTTATCACATATTTGTCGACAGCGTATGAATAGAAGATGGGAAGTATTGGCCGGAATATGGGTGGAGTTACTAATCAATGCTGGAAGACAATGCACAGGAAGTCAGCACGCACAACAGCTCAAACAAGGTGGAGAGTTGGTGACTCATTTCTGGCTTCTCTTTTCTGAGTTAGGATATCTCGATCAACTGGTCACTAAGCCAATTGAAAAATCACCAACTGATGATAATGTTTAAAAAAACAGAAATATTTTGTTATTGGTATGAATTAGTCATGATTATATCAAAAAAGTTTGTTTTTTTATTGTACTATATAACGATAAGATTACTTAAAAAATAAAAGAACTGATATGTTTACTGTTTAAATAATCTTAACTCTACACCCATAGTCACTGTAGACTGTGACTCAATTGCATTGTTTTGGCTTTTTGCTTCATTTTGGCCGTTCGATCGTCTTCTGCTTTGGCTTCCTCTTTCGATCTCCACTGTCATCTTTGGCTGCGCCATTTAGTGCCTTGCATTAATGGAGCTCTGTGATTGAAATTTGTTTCGATGCTTCTTTTGTCCCTTTTGATATATATATATATATTTTTTCTCATTTTCTTTCTTTCTCCAGAGTCAGTTCGTGGAGGCAGAGGGCCCCAACGTCCCTTCTTGTGTTTACTACAAAAACATAATCACAAAGTAAATGTTTCAATGTGCTATCTATCATCATCAGGTGATAAATGCATTTTTGGACCGCTACAGAAAATATATACCAGAACCTACCCCATAATTTCCTGGAAAAGCCAAAACTTTTGACCTTGGAAAAGCCAAATTACCCTCTTTCAAGGTCACCAATAATAGGCTCTAATTCTCCCTTCGTTTCTGTACGTAATTCAATGCGACAAATTATTGAAAAATGATTCTCAAATTTTTGTTTGCCGGACAATAATTTCATTGATATTTAGTAATGTTTGTTTTGCGAAAAATATTTACATGATACACAAAATAATTTTTTTTATGATTTTTAATAAGTATTAATAATATCAAAAATATGATAGTAGTGAAATAATGATGATGGAGGTGATGATAGTGTTAAAAGTGATAAATGGGTCTTTCTTTTTTATTTTATTTTGATCACTTTGCTCTTTTTTTCTGATTTTTTTAATAAAAAATTTTAAGGTAAAAAACTGTTTAAAAAAAATTACAAAATAAGTTTTTAGCTAAGAATTCATTATTTTTAACATTCTTTATACTATTAAATAATTTTTTAATAAAAAATTTATAAAGAATTTGAAGAATAATCAATCAAATACAAAATTTTGATTAAAAATTTTGTTCACTTTTTATTTAATGTATATTGATAGACACACAATCTAATACGAGATATTAAAATAAAATATTTTTTAAAAATAGTTTTATATTTTTTTCGATCCGCAACGTAGCGCGAGTGAAAAATTTAATAGCTATCTAAAAGAAAAAGAATTGACTTGAACAGAATAGCCTCTAATCAATTAAATAAGTGATTTCAAATTCGAATCATTGTGTATTTAGAAAACTCTTTGAATAAATATGTTCTCCTTATATGTCCGACGTAACTTCTATAGATTACTTAGTTTGAGTTTTTAGACTCGAGATGCTCGAAAATCCAAAATAATAATAATAATAAATAGCTATTATTGTGTGAGGGTAGCAAATGAGTTCAAATAAAATAAATAGTGTTAAATTATAAGAGATACATATTCAAAATAAAAATTAAATTGATGCAAATCAGATAAAATCAATAGTGTTAAATTTAAGACTTAACCTGTGAAAAGGCCACAATTATCTTGCAAATCAAATTGATGCAGGTTCTAAAGATATATAGTCAAAATAAAAATCAAATAAGAGATTAGAATTTTAAGAATATTCTAGTAAATCTAGCAAAAGAGTTAAGAAAACTAAAAGTTTTTTGGTTGGGAAATCCTAAGAAAGGTAGAAAAATAATAAGTTAATTGCAAGAAAAAATAAAGCGCATTTAATTATATGTGTGTGTGTATATATATATATATAAAGATAAAGAATTTGAAAAATAAATTGCAAGAATTTATATGTATTGACGGAGCTTGTCAAAAAATTACAATGAGAATGTTTCTTTATTTGTAGAGTATATTAAACTTAATGACTAATTGTTTTTTGATGAATGGTTTTGATTTTCCTCAAAACGAAAATAGTGCATAAGAATACAAAGAAGAAGGTGTTTTTAACTTTTTATGGGTTAGCTTAAAAGAAAATAATAATGGTATAGGAAAAACAAGCCCAAAACCCTAGAAGCCCATAAAGCAAAATAACCAAAATCTAAAGTGAAAAGCACAATTTGTCACAATGAATGACAAGACGATGGCTCTCTCCCTTCGTCCCTTGGTCTCTACCTCAAGTCGAATGACATGCCGTTTGGCAACAAATATTTTAGTTTCATCCCCCGTCTAATTTTTACAAGAAAGTTGCAATCTCCTAAAACTTTATTTTTACACGTTTTCACCCAAAAAAAATCTCAATGATCATTGCAACCTCAACAAGTATGAGTAAATTATAAATTAGTTCCTCTATTTTTTAAGAAATAAATTAATTAATACTTCTTATTTTACAAACTAATTATTTAATTCTTGATCAGTATTAATAGTACTTAATTTAATATAATTTTATTTTAAAACATATCATCTTTTATCATTAATCTTTCTATAATTTTTCTTACTTTTTTTCGATTTTATAAAATAAATTAAAAAAATAATATTAAGTTACAAGAATATTTAAAAATATAAAAAATAAATAATTAAATTTAAAATAAGAGCGACTTATTAAAGAACTAACTTATAATTTACTCCAACAAATATAGCAAAATTCATTTTCATTGACGGAAGTTTGGGGCAGAATTGGTATTATGGGGTGAAGGCAACAAGAACTGCCGCAAAGTGACTGTTGGAGGAGGTCTCAATGGCACTATGGGCTTATCTCCTCTTTTTCAGTTTTTACCGGCCTGAAGATAGTTTCGCTAATTAACATAATTCGAGACAAATAAAATAGTAATAATTAAAAGAAAGGGATTTTTAAGAAAAATTAGCAAAAAAAAATGAAGTATTTTATGAAATAATGAATGTTCATCATCATTTTCATCTACTTTTCATATCCATATAACTCATAGTTAGAGAAATTGAAAAGATTATGCAATTAATTATTCATAGTACTTTTCAATTTTCTTCTCAAATTTGAAGCCTATAAATAGGTTTGATTATTCTTTAATTGGTGTATCGTATTTTGTAGAGATTAAGAGAATTGTTTAGAGTTGTTATCTCTTATATTCTCTTTATAGTGAAATTATTTATTCATCATTTTTCTTTTCAATTATCCTATTATTTCTATTTCTTTTGATAACAAATTATTTATCGTTACCAAGCACAATTATTTATTTCCTTTTAGTATATAACTATATTGCATATGAGCAATAGGAGTGTGTGTGAATATGTATAACTTTATATGTTGCAAAATCATTATGGTTGTATTGAGTTATTCTATATTAATCACACGACTACCTGGCAAAAAAAAAAATCCTTTTTATAGAAAAAAAATATTGTTTTATTTATGAGTTTATGAAAAAAGAAAGTAGCAGGTTAATAGTTGACGCATATGTTTTTTTATATGTAAATTCATGATCCATTGGGTTTTCCAACTCAATATTATTGAGTTATTAATCTAGAAGCAGTGTATCATTTATACTAATCATATTGTGGAAATAAAATATTTTATTTATAGGAAAACATAGTTTTTATTTATGGAAAAAAAAATACTAGTTTGATTGTAATTTTTTTTAACCACCTCGTTAACCCATATATTTTATATTTATATACGTATAAACATGTGATTGGTTGGCCTTTTTAATTCGGTTTTATTGAGTTATTAATCCAGAACCATTATATCATTTTCTAGTTATATATATATATATAGATGTTTCACTTGCCGGCAACGTTTCAGGTGAAATGGCGAGGAGATATATCATATATCTAGAGATGCGCTTGCTCATCTTCCAGTTTAAAACGACATTATCATTCTCATCCATGGCTCGTCTGGTTTCCTTTTTTTCTTTGGTGAAATAGCCATGATCTAGGTGATAGCAGAGTTCTGTAGCAATGTGCCAAGCAATAATTGTTTGCTGAAACTCTATGGTAAAGAAAAGGTAAAAAGGAAAGTGGTTGTGTCCCAGCACTCCAAATCTGCTAAGGTTACACCATTAGCACTAGATCTACTTCAGGTTTTGACATGCAATAGAGCTTTACAGCCATCACACTGAAAAAGGATATATATCCCAGAATTGGATAGGGTGCTTTCGCTGCTGTCGAACACTAATCATGCGACCCTAGCTAGATACCTTCGTTTCTTTTTTTCACCTCACACAGCCTGTACACACACAGCCAAAGCTTCTATCCGACTAGTTTGATTAGGATTTAAATTCGTGACCTTTTGCAAAAGACCACTATGATTAGACTACAAATACCCTTTGGAGGACTAATAATTGACACCATTTCAGCCCATCTACTAATCCAATCCTGATAAAGACCAATCAACCATGTCTTAATTTAGATACAGTGATTTCAAGTTCTACTTTCCCCTCTTTTTTAGCTTTTGTAATTGGTAAATCACTTTGGCATTTTCTGTCGACAGTGGATATAAATCATGGTCCATTTATTTGTCTACTTTTACCAAATTTTGAAGCAAAACAATGAATTGTGAAACTCTGAGCCATAAACTTGACTTTCCATCTATTTTGCAGTGGTCTAAGAATCCCTCTAGTAAAATCTTAAAGGAGTCAATCTAATTCTTGTTCAACGTCTTAGCCTTTTGTTCTTCAATATAGCATTTTTTTTCCTGACCAGATTTTCTCCATCTCCCTTTTGATTTGATGTAAAATGAGAGTCAACTCCAAAACAAAAGAGAGAAAGAAATCTCACATCGGAAGAGAAGAAATAATATTAAACCTATATAAGATTCATTCAATCAGCTGCTCAGCAGCTGAGCTCGGTTACGTGGGCTTGTGACCCAAAGGGGTGCTTAGAAGCGATGGACTGATGGTTGCGGCCAGTGAGTTGGGCTAGGTTGGGCTTTTTCTGGCCCGCCCATTCCAAGCCAGGAGTTGAGCCATGGCACCCTAGTGAAGACTTCGGGGTGGCATGGTTAACAGCGTGAGGCTGGTTTCAGAGAGCAGTAATCACCTCCCTCACTGGGCGGTGGAAGGATAACGGCTTGGTGCCATACGGATTCATTTGGCTCAATGGCTGGTCTAATTGGATCATCGCTTTCTACGTACCTAGAGAGGAGAGCACAGCCTGGTCTAATTTGATTTTTCGGTATGTGTGATATATATTTATTTTTCATTATGACAATTTCCTTATAATTAATAAAAATATAATATTTTGACATTATAATTAGTTTTTAAATTTATATCCACTAATATAAATTATAAGGCATATTATTATTTACTTGAATTTGAGAATTTCTTTTAATAATAATTTGATGGAAATGATAGAATGAGATATATGACATGTTTTGTGTATGCATGAAATAGATATGAAAAATGGAGAAAATTAAAAAAAAAAAAAAAAAAAAACATTAAAATATTATATAGAAAATGGCCTCTTTTTTTCCTTTAATTACACTGTTTCAACATAAAAAAAAATTTCAAATATATTAACAATTGTATATGCTAAAGAAAAATATATTTTGTATCTTTAATCAAGGTTAGTTATTAAGGCCTTGTCACTTTTAACCTCTACGATTCCAACTAATCGCATACTAAGCACAAGCTTATAAGAGTTAAGACATATAAAAAATCTATAATTTTTTTTTAATTGAAATAAGAACGAAAAGAATATAAAAATATAGTTTTCCTATCAATTTTTAGCTTTTAAATTAATGTCCATTAATACAATTTATAAGTTATATTGTTTTTTATTTTCATTTATTTAATTTTAATTATACTTTTAATTTCAAGAGATTGGCCTTAATTGCTTAAAGTGACATGTTCCCTCCATTGAGTTCTTAAGTTCAAACTTTAGGACTAGAATCTATGAAAATTTATTAAATCTGTCGATGTGAGGGCGCTTTTAAGATCGTCCGAGAAAAAGATTTATTCTCGATTAGCACGTAATTAAGCTAGTCCAATGATATCAATAAATTAAAAAAAAAAAAAAAAAAACTTATCTGCTTTTACTTTTACTATTTTTCTCTTTTATCTATTTATTTTTTGTTACTAATTTATTCATTTGCTGACAGGGTATGAAAATAAGATGGAAAGTATTTGCCGAAATATGGGTGGAATTACTGATCTTAAAAAATACTTTTAAGGACCAAAATCTTTTAGCTTTATATTGACACTGCCCAAATGGAAGAATTGTTTGCAAATCTTTCAAGACTTATCTAAGGAAGTGTTCTTGTATGTCGTTATCGATCAAACTCCTAAATTTACATTTGCATGTATCTCGTCCTCAATGCTATTAAATGCCAACACTAAGCATAACCAGAAGCAGGTGATTCTTTTTTTCAAGATCGAGCAAGTTTGCCTAGAGATGAAGTGAAGAACAAAGCAGAATGAACTTCAATGGGACGAAAAAACGTAAGAGACAGAAAGAAAAAAGAACAAAGAATCATGTATTCCACACACAGGTGCTGTCCTAGCAAAAGAAAAACTAGGCCTTTTTCCTTAATTTGAAGTATAGCATTTGCTTCTTTACTTGGAATACTTCTTACCATACAGTAAAAGCAAATAGAAAAAGAAAGCAAAGGTAATGGTATAATTCTTTTCCTGAAGAGAAGAAAACAACTGCTTTGGCATTATAAATACTCTTTTTGCCAGCACTAAATTTTATAAAATTAAGGAACCAAATCATCAATCTGGTTTTATTTCTTAATTGCTCTTCTATATTATTCTCTCTAAATTAAGCAGCATCTCATAGTTCCCGGTGGGATTTGACTCCAAGCCATAAAGAGGTAATTGAATTATGTTTACTAAATTTCATATTGTATAACATATTTCCCAGTGAATTTATTTGAGAATTACAATATCACCAAAATTCACCACACCATTCGTCACTTCATCTCTATTTTTGTTTTCTCTTGTATAAATTATATAATAGACAACAAAAAGTTGGGACTAATGTTTTTTATTTTTTAAAATAGATAATGCCACAATATTAAATTATTTATTTTTCTCTTTTTGGTATCCTGAAGTATATCTACTTGACAATGGCTTTCTGCTGGGATAATTTTATTATGATATATAGAGTGGTGTAATTTGTTTTCAGTACTTTCTTTTTTCTGCACATGATATTGCAAATTTATCTCAGTTGTTAGTTCTTTAATTCTTTAATTGTTTGATGATTCAGGACGATAAAGATGGAGGTGCTTTCTCCAAGCTTAAAGAAACTGTGGAACGAATGGCAGCTGCGGGCGTTGGTTTTACTTAGCCTCACTCTCCAAATAATTCTTATCCTTTTAGGCAATCGTCGAAAGTATACTCCCAAAATTATAGTATGGCCTGCTTACTTAGCAGCAGACTTTGTGGCAACTGCTGCACTCGGTGTCCTCGTGAGTAACTTGTTTAGTCATTCTGGAACTCTTGATCCAAACCTCCAGCTGCAAGCGTTTTGGGCACCATTTCTCTTGCTGCACTTGGGTGGGCCTGACACAATCACTGCCTATTCTGTGGAGGACAACGAGTTGTCGTCCAGGCACTTGCTCCAGGTGATCTTCCAGACAGGAGTTGCATTTTACATCCTTCTCATGGCGTGGACAGGGTCCCATATTTCAATTCTAACAATGCCAATGATATTGGCAGGGCTTATCAAGTATGGAGAAAGAACATGGGCCCTGTGGTCTGCAAGCAGCTCTGAGCAACGTAGAGCATTGAAGCCTAGCTCTCAAAATACGGTGCAAGTTTTGTTTGATGATGAGGATCATTCTGAGGCTGAATTACTTCAAGTCGCCTATGGGATGTTTAATATGGCCAAGCATCTCTTTGCTGGTCTTCCAATACCTGCAACAAAACAATCTGCTACGGCTAACCACTGGAAGTCGACCTATAATAAAAATGCTTTTGAAGTAACTGAAATGCAGCTTGGATTTATGTATGATTTTCTCTACACCAAGGCGTTGGTGACCTACACTCCCTCTGGCATTGCTTTGCGGTTCACCAGTTTTCTTCTCACCATCATTGTGCTGGTGTTATTTTCTTTGGCACCTCACAACAAATAAAGGTACTCAAAGCTCGATCTTTCCATAACTTTCCTATTGCTAGCTGTGGCCATTCTCTTAGAGCTTTATGCAGCGCTTTTATTGTTATTGTCAGACCACACTGTTGCCTGGTTGAAAAAACATAACAGAAATAACATCTCTCAAGCCATTACTTCTCTCTCACTACCAAGAAATCCTAGCTGGTCAAAGTCCATGGGTCAATTCAGTTTCCTAAGCTACTTCCTCAATGAAAAACCCATGGATTTCGAAGGAATCCTAAAGCTCTTAAAAATAAACGAAAAGCTAGAAAAGCAAGGATATGTAGCTTATCGTGAGGTCCCGGAGGATTTGAGAAAACGGTTAATTACAGGTTCTCGGAAATATAGGGAGCGTTTGGAAACATTTTCATCTAATCTATCTGGAAAGCGTATTTTGGAGCATTTTGGAGGTTCACTAGTATTGGTAGGTTTGGAGTCTAATTATGACACTCTGCATCGCACGATTACGATGGGTTTTCAGCAAACAATCCTCGTTTGGCACATTGCTACAGAACTCTCGTATCACCTAGATCGCGACTACTTCACCAAAAAAAATCAAGAAACCAAATGCATTAGTGCAGAAAATGTGCAAGGCAAGGCTGAGAATACGGCTGCATTAAACCGTAAAATGAGCAAACTCATCTCCAGATATATGATGTATCTCCTGGCGATATCTCCTGACTCGTTACCAGGAAGTGAGGCACTTGGTCTGACAAGCTTTCAACACACTCATGATGTGGCCAGGAAAGGATTAGTAGAATTACAAAGACTCAGCACCGAAAAAGAAAGAAAACGACAGATTAAAATCCAGGCCTCCAAATTGTTGGTGGAGCAATACACAGATTTACAGAATTTGGAGGCTATCAAAAATGGCCTGTTTTGCAAAACAAATTAAATGCTCCCTTTTACTTTTACTATTTTTCTCTTTTCTCTATTTATTTTTTGTTAGTAATTTATTCATGTGCTGACAGCCTGTGAAATTAAGATGGGAAGTATTTGCCGGAGTATGGGTGGAATTACTAATCAAGGCTGGAAGAGACTGCATAAGAAGTCAGCACGCACAGCAGCTGAGACAAGGTGGAGAGTTTCTGACTCATTTCTGGCTTCTCTTTTTTGAGTTAGAACATCTCGATCAACTAGTTACTAATAAGGTAATTGAAAAATCACCAGCTAGCTGATGATAATGTTTAAGAAACAGAAATATTGTGTTATTGCGTATGCATTAGTCAAGGATATACAGAAGCGTGTGCTTTTATTGTACTATGATTAAAAATACAATAGCTCTATATTGTGTGAGACTGTATCTTTCTTTAGGTTAATGCCATAGAATATATAAGTTGTGTGAATTTTGGGCTATTGGCCTTCCCATCATCTTGTGTTTGTTTTATTACCTTCTGTACAGAATGTATCCCATGTATGATAATAGTATTTGTTTTCTTGACACGTGTATTACTCAATCGTTTGGACATGATAGTTCGAGAGGCCCAAAAAAAAAGTTGAGAATTAAATTGGATTTCATGAAAAATTCAAGGGACTTTTGACTTGATAGAAAGTAGAAATATGTTGAAGCCGAGCCCATCAGCAGTCCATCTACATACATTAAATGTCAACCCAAACTCCTGCAACCGATGAGTAAATGAGGTAATGATTGCAGAAATTTATCCTTTTTTTTTTTTTTTTTTGGTCTTTAATCTTAAGTTCATATCTTTATATTTGGTTTCTGTCTTGATCTCTCCTTTCATTAACTTTTAAACTAGCATTATTAGTTTATTTTTTTGTCTTAATCTCATTGCTCTTCTCTATTTTTTTTTTTTTTTTTTACCAAATTTAAATACATGAAGGTTAAAAAAATAATAAAAAAATGTGAAGATATCAGGTCATTTTCTTTAAAATTTGAAAAAAATGAAACTAAAAATATTTTTTTATTTAAAATATCTTTTATTGGTTTAAATTTTTCTCTATAATAGCAAGGAAATTTTAAATATAAAATGAAATATTTATAGTATTTTCTTTAAAATGTAAAGAGAGTTCTAGTTAGATTTTTAGAATTTTGAATGGTATTTATAATTTTATAATAATTAGAAAAAACTACTATAATTTAATTATTTTGATTTTATAATTTTTTTAATTTGAATCGAAAGTGAGAATATAAATTTTTTTTGTAAATTTTAGTCAAATTAAAAAATTCGTTAGTGTTGCGTCCAGCAATAACAAAAAAATATATTCTTTCTTTTGAGTCAAATTTAAAAGCTTATAAAAAAAAATTATTATAGACTCATTTGAGATATTACAAAATTATAAATAACATTTAAAAATTTAAAATATGAATTAAAAAGCTCTTCATATTTAAAAAATAATACTATAAGTACTTCATTTTATACTAAAAATTTACTTACTATATATCTTAAAGATAAATTTAAACTCATAAATATTATTTTGGATTTTTAAAAAATATATTTTTGGCTTCATATTTTCTTTATTTTTTTATTTTTAGCGAGAATGATCAAATATATCTTATTTTTTATTTTTTATTTTCTAAAATTTATTTATTTAAATTTGGTATTTAAAAAATATGATTAAGACAAAGTTGTACGCCAAATATTAAATTTAAATTTGGTATTTTTTTATTCTCTATTTATCTATAAAAAAATATTAAATTTAAGAGCCAAATAAGGTTAGAAAATAAACTAGATTAATTTGGAATAAAATTTATATTACAATAGTTTTTTCTGAAATGACAATTATTACAATAAAATACAATTCACGAAAAAATTGTACGCCGAATTAGATGTTGTTGACACATCTTACTCCCCCAGACATAATAGATTTTTCTTCATCTTTTTTAATTTGCTCCTCTTGGTTCCTTGAATGTTAGAACTTGTCCCCAAACAATAAATGTCTTGCAATTTAGTTTAGTTGCTCATAGCCGATTAGAAAATATTTTTTGAACATAAAAAATGCCTCCAATAGTTCTTTATCTAAATGTCAAACAAAAATGAAGGAGCATTGTCTTTTGATATTTATTAATCAAATATTTTTTCAATAATCGAATTCGTTGATAACACTTTTTAAAATGTGAGCAAATCATCAATAATCGAAGTTCAAATAATACACCACTAAACGCATCGGATACCTTTCTTTATTTATCAATATTAATAAAAAAGATTGGAAATTTTTTAAAAATTTTTATAGTCAGCTTAAAAGAAAATAATAAGTGTAGGAAAAACAAACCCAAAATCCTTGAAGCCCAAATATGAAATAACCCAAATCTTAAGCCCAAACAAAACCAATGCCTAACAGTACATAAGTCATTAACCCAAAGGCCCATTTTGTCACAGTGAATGACATGACGATGGCTCTCTCCCTTCATCCCTTGGTCTCCAACTCAAGTCGAATGACTTGCCGTTTGTCAATAAATATTTTAGTTTCATCCCCAAAACTTTATTTTTACACGTTTTGACCCAAAAAATCTCAAAATGATCATTGCAACCTCAAAAAATATAGCGCACCCCATTTTCATTGATGTTTACATTACCCAAAATGAATTTTTAAATTCTCGTAAAATGCATTTTCATTGACGGAAGTTTGGGCCAGAATTGATATTATGGGCTGAAGGCAACAAGAACTTCCATAAGGTGACTGTAGGAGGAGGTCGCACTATGGGCCTATGGGCTCCTCTTTTTCAATTTTTCTCGACCCGAAGGTAGTTTCGCTAATTAATATAATTCAAAAAAAAATAAAATAGTAATAATGAAAAGAAAGGGATTTTTAAGAAAAATGTGCAAAAAAAGAAGTATTTATTGTTAGCAAGCATAATTATTTATTTCCTTTTAGTATATAATTATAATGCATAGGAGATATACTAGTGTGTGTGAGAATATTTATAACTTTATATGTCACAAAATCATCATGGTTTTATTGAGTTATTCTATATTAATCATGCGATTAATCAAACGACCACACTATGAAAAAAAATTTCTTATTTATAGGAAAATATGGTTTTATTTGTGAGAGTAAAAACAAGAAAATAGCAATTAATTTTTTTTAACCATTTTGCTGACATATATATGTATATATATATATATTTTATATGTAAATATGTGATCGATTTGATTTTTCAACACAATATTATTAAGTTATTAATCTAGAAGCAGTTTATCACTTATACTAATCATATTGTGAAAATAAAATGTTTTATTTGTAGAAAGACGTAGTTTTATTCATGAAAATATGAATAAAAAAATAACAGTTTGATCGTAATTCTTTTTAACTATTTAGTTTTTATTGAGTTATTTTTTTATTTAATCGTAAATCTTTTATATTTATATATGTATAAAAACGTGATTGGTTGGCTTTTTTATTCAGTTTTATCGAGCTATTAATCAAGAACTAGTATATAATTTTCTATTTCTGTGATATTTTCTCTTTATTATATATATATGCGCCATAAAATAAATTACTCTCTTTTATTGGGCCCAAACAAGGAAAAACAAAGAAAGCCCAATATTCAAAAACCTAACGTGGGCTCTAAACCCAATTACCTAACCTCCGCGCCAAAATACCATTCCCCGCGAAAGCAAAATAACCCGCCAAACTCTCCCATTGGCTCCACACTCCCACCTTAAAAACCCACAAAAAAACAACCAAAAACCCTCTTCTCTACGGCAAAAATGGCACTGAGAAACAAGAGAAGTCAAGCTCCAAAGCCAATATTTAGATCCAAGTCTGCTGACGACTACAATGATGTTTCATGCGAGGAATGTAGGTCAGGAGAGTCACCAGGAGAGCTTCTTCTTTGCGATGGATGTGATAAAGGGTTTCATTTGTTTTGCTTAAGACCTATTCTTGTTTCTGTTCCTAAAGGGTCTTGGTTTTGTCCTTCTTGTTCCAAACAAAAGATGCCCAAGTGTAAGTTCATTCCTTTTGTTTTTTTTTTAAATGTTCTTTTGAGCTTATTTTCTATTTTTTAATGGGGTTTTGCTGTTGATTTTGGTTGATTTTTTGGGTCTTGTGAAATGGGGTTGTTAGATTTTGTGATTTAGATTTGTTTATTAAGAGATTTGATTAGTGGGGCTTTTCTCTAAACCTGGATTGAAAATTGCTGACTGAAGGAAAGGTTAAAAAAGGAAAACACAAAAAAATTAGGAAGTGAAAATTGTATTAGCAATTATGTTGCATTTGACAATCTGGAATTGTTTATCTTCTTATTAATATTAATTTAATTTGTCTCAAATTTTGAATTGATAATGGGTTTTGTTTTTATGAGCAGCATTTCCTCTTGTCCAAACGAAAATCATTGATTTCTTTCGCATTCAACGGTCCACAGAATCGATTCAGAAGCTAAGTCAAGGTAAAGAAAAAAAAAAGGTTTATTTCCGTTGTGTTTTAATTGGTAGGTTGATGCCAATTACTGAATTTTCTCCTTTCTTATAGATTTTCAGAAGAAGCGAAAGCGGTCTAGTGGTTTAGTAATGTCAAAGAAGAGAAGGAAGTTGCTGCCATTTAATTCGAGTGAAGATCCTGAAAGGAGACTAGAACAAATGAGATCACTAGCAACAGCATTGACAGCCTCTAGGACGGAGTTTAGCAATGAACTAACTTACCGGCCAGGCATGGCACCGAGGTCTGCAAATCATTCAGCTCTTGAGAAGGGAGGAATGCAGGTAAAAATTGGGGTAATAATAAGATAAAGAATGGATACCCATATTAATTGTCTCACGGATTTTCCCTTTCTTACTTTAAGAAGACTAGACTGAAATTGTATATTCTTTTCTTCAAAGGAGTTTTTTTCTTTTCAATTTTGATTGATTTTTATTCTTTGCTAGTTGGCTGTTGAGTAATTCATGAAGTTCAGGTTTATTGAAATTCAAGTATGAATGCTCTACAGGTCTTGTC